AGTGACAGAAATCTAAATCTAATATTTGAGCAAACTATATTCCAAATTTAAAGTTGATATCTCAAAAAAACACGCATTCAGTATTTAGAGTGGACGCAGTACCAGACATGACCACATTCAGTTTCCATTGCCGACCATACAAGAGCGCCCTCATTTATTTTGTTAGGGTGCAGTACCAGACATGACCACATTCAGTTTCCATTGCCGACCATACAAGAGCGCCCTCATTTATTTTGTTAGGGTGCAGTACCAGACATGACCACATTCAGTTTCCATTGCCGACCATACAAGAGCGCCCCCATTTCTGTGTATCATTTAATGGATATGAACCATATTTTTCTGACTTTTTACGATATTTGTGAAGTTAAACATTTCAATTTAGCCTCTAAAACATTATTAAAACATTATTTTAAGTGCTTTTTGCGAAATCCCAATCCTAACCCTAACCCTAAAAAAATATATATTTTAGTGTTTTTTCATAATATTTAAAACAAAGCACAGTCCATTTTTTTTTTTTTTCTAAAGATTCAGACTAACAATTTGTTTTTCAAACAGTATTTTATATGTGCTGCATTGCCGCAACAAAGTAATGCTTCATAGCGGATATGAGTGTCTTTGCAGCTAATTAATAAATAACTTACTCAGTAATATCTATTAAAATCATGAAAAATGAAAACTAGAAATGTTAAGCTGTATATGTGATTGCTTTATTTAAATATTATGTTTCTAATATGCTTATATTAGGATGTGTTTAGATATTATGGTTTAGAAATGCAAATGCAAAAGTTCTTTTTAATTATCGTTTGTCATGATTAGATTAGGATTTAATTGCACTATAGTCAACTTAAGCAAGACGGTGGCAGTAGAGGGGTTAAAAGAAAGAAGACATGTTCAGTTTGTGTCTGTGTGTGTGTTTTCCAGGCGAGATTATCCTCCTCAGATCACACCCAAGATGTTCCTGCTGGAGTGGAGCCGCAAAGAGAAGCTTGAGCAGCCAGTTTATGAGACAGTCAGTGCTGACAGTACAAATGAACTGACATCGCAATATTTACATTTATTTATATATATATATATATATATATATATATATATATATATATATATATATATATATATATATATATAAATATATATATATATATATTTATTTATTTATTTATTTATTTATTTATTTATTTATTTATTTATTTATATATATATATATATATATATATATATATATATATATATATATATAGATATATATAGATATATATAGATATAGTAAAATCAATACAGCTTCATACTATTCAAATACAGTGTGTATGTTTGCAGGAGCAGCGCAGTCAGGATCGAGGCTTTCAGTCCACTGTTATTGTGGCCGATAAGAAATATCGCTCTACACTGTGGTGAGTTTAACACAGAGACGAACACATTTACGCGCCATCCACACAGGGCATCAGCGCCAACGCTTCCCATTCACTTTGAATCGGTGACGTCAAGTGTTGCCGAACTGCATTGTGGATCCGTCAGGACCGTTCGAGACGTTGCTCGCTGCAGAAGTTGGAACTTTCTCCGCTTTTCAAAGCGACAGCCAATCAGATCGCTGTATGCAAATACACAGACAGTAGCCCGATTGCTGACTAATTTCATTGGCTGACGCTGCTATGATGATCACGTCAGCCCCAACTTGACAGACACGCCCCCTGTCAAGCGTTGATGCTGAAGCCCCGAGTGAATGCACCGTTATATATCTATACATGCACACACACATACATACACATGTACAAAAGCACATCTATACAAAGACACACACACACACACACACACACACACACACACATATAAGCTCACATTCACACACAAACACATGCTAACACACTCAGACACAATACACGCATGCATACACACTTATACTTAAACACATATTGACATACACATGCTGACTTAAACCCACACACACACACAGTCACTCACACAATCATACACACACTGATATATACATTAACACAGACACATACACACAAACGCAGTCACACTCACATACATGCACACATAAATACACATCAACAAACAAATATATACATACACACACTCGCATGCATACATGCACACATTTGTATACAAACACACACACATTGACATGCACACACTGACTTAGACACACTCGCATACAGTCACTCACAATCTTACGCACACACTTTTATATATATATATATATATATATATATACATTAACACACACTGACATACACACACTCATACTGTACATGCATACATGCATAAATGCACACACACCCACACATACATACACACACACTCGCATATATACAGACACACATTCTCGCATACATGAGCTTACACACACACATAAATGCATAAGCTCACATTCACACACATACATAAACACACACACAGTCACTCACATACAAACATGCATACATTTCTCTCTCTCTCACACACGCACACACATTCTGACATACCCTCACATACAAATACCTACACACACTTGCATACGCTGACAAAAACACAGTCACATACACATGCATATACACACACTCACATACACACACACACACATACCTGCCAACATGCATATATAGACACACACTCGCATACACACACTCTTACTCACATACACTGACCAAAAAAACACACAGTCACACTGAGACACTCGCATACACACTCCCATACATACACCCTCTGTCTCTCACACGCACACACACTTAGTGTCCGTATTGTCTGTATCTGCAGGGAGAAGTCTAAGAAGTTTGCGGAGCAGGCCGCGGCTCTGGTGTGTTTGCGCACGCTTGGTCTCCCAGAGGGTCGAATCGGAGAGGAGCACAGCGGACTCGTAAACAAACGAAAGAGAGACGACAGAAAGACCACAGCGGCGGACAACGACGACGACGAGTCCCACGCGCCAAAGAGACACACACACACACTCCCCCAGGAAGAGGAAGTGACATGCAGGACGAAAGTTGTGAATGGTGTTTGTGGTCAAACCGCACGCTAGCCAGATGCTCAACACACACACACACACACACACACACACGCATTGCTGTTCACTTTTATCTGATCACACACTCACAGCTCTGAGTTTGCTTGTAAATTTGTCAAATCCGGTTGTCAAGTGCCACCTCAGTGTCTTCCTGTTGAGATGCTGGGTTATGCTTCAGTTCTTCTGCATAGAGGATTGATTTCTTATTTTTATTTTTTTAATTATTATTATTATTATTATTATTATTATTATTTTGCGTTTCCGTCTTCCACCAGAAGGGGGCAGTAATTCACCATACAGTAAACAGCTCAAATTACACCATCAGCAGACTTCAGAGGTTTCTTTTTATTGTGTTTGTTGGCAATGTTTTTGAGAAATAAACCGTTTTAATTTTGCTTCTGAGTTGTTTCCTGCTTGTTTATGAGTTTAGTTGTTAAAATATAGTAAGCATCACAACATTTCTGATATTTTGTTATGGATATGAGGCTCAGAAGTGATGTGTTGCTAAAATAATATGACTATACCACACCATACATTGTTAGTAAGATGGAAAATGTATAAGTTTATTCATTATTGCTCTGGTTAGTCGCTATTAATCAATGGTCGCCACAGCAGAATGAACTACCAACTTATCCAGTTTTACACAGCTCCCATACACACAGGACCTGCGATTAAAGTCACACCCGAAAGACAGCGCCCACTGAGCAGTATAGAGTCCCCTTGACTGTACTGGGGCGTTAGGACCCACACAGACAGCAGGTTGAGCGCCCCCTGCTGGCCTCACTAATATCACTTCCAGCAGCAACCTAGCTTTCCCATGTGGTCTCCAATCCAGAGTTGCCGAGAGCTAGCTGCTGGTGCTAATATTTTATAATAATTCGGTAATATCTATATGGTAATATGACAACCACATATTATACTGCTAATATACACAGGGGCAGACTTAGTGGTCTGGGGGCCCTAAGCAATTCCAGGTATGAGGCACTGAAACTCAAAACACTCAGATATTTGTTTTCTCTACATTTTCTCCTGATCTCTCTCTATTAATTATTATTTTTTTTATTTTTTTGTAAAAAAACTGCATGTTAAAAATATATTTTAGGTGGAACCTTATTAACTTAAAATTAAATACAATATATTCGCAAATAAAAAGTAATCTCACAAACTATGTACAGTTAATTAGCCATACTTGTGATTAAATCTTAATATTTGCATGCGCAGTAAGGAAGGAATGTTCATGGGGCCCCCTAGCAGGTTTAGAAAAACGTAATGGTTATAGACAGATTTTACAAGATATGATAGAAAAATTATACAACAGCTTCAGGATGATTGATATAGACTTCTTGGCATTGGTCAGGGCTCCCTATTTTTCCCGGGCCCTAAGCGGATGCTTACCTCGCTTATAGCTTAAACCCGCACCTGAATATACACCAAAGTTTACTGTAGTAAGAACTATTGTATAACTACCCTGCTGAAACATACAGCCTGAACCAGCCTAGGCTTGTTGGCTGGTTTTAGCTGGTCGACCAGCCTGGTTGTAGAGGGGTTTTGACCACTTCCAGGCTGGTTTCCAGCCATTTCTAGCCTGGTCTTAGCTGGTCAGGCTGGGAGATGACCAGCCTAGCCAGGCTGGGAGCCCAGTCAAAACCAGCCTGGAAACAGAACTGGTAATTTTCCAACCTGACCAGCCAAGAACAGGCTGGAAATGGCTGAAAACCAGCCTGGAATTGGCCAAAACCCCTCTAAAACCAGGCTTGTCAACCAGCAAAAACCAGCCAACCAGCTTAGGCTGGTTTAAGCTGTTTTTTTCAGCAGGGACTAATGTGTAATAAATACTGTAATATATACATTATAATATGGAATGGTCTTAAAACACTGTAGTATTTCTATTTAATTTGATGAGGGATATAACTGCAAAGTCGCCACTTTCTTTACAGTACAACCCTTATTTACGCGGAAACTCTGGTTACCATGGTATTTCTGTCTGTGTAAGGGCTCTTACTCTGACCTTGTGGAGTAGACTACAGCGAAGTGTGCACTAACTGAGCAGTTCTTGTCCACTGCAGCGGAACTGACTCGTTCAAGACTCGCATTTATTGTTGCTGTTTGCAAATGAGGCCGCGTGCGCGCGCGTGCGTTTCCGACTGTTTGTAGTCTGTCAAATGTCGTGACGTCACGTCTGGAGTCGCGCACTGTAAAATGTAACTTTACTATTTCCATCCAGGCGCGCGAGAGACTTCAGACCAACGCCGAACTCAGCATGGGATTATTAAACTCGGCGGGGCACCGACAAAGTCCGAGAAGAAACGACACCGACGACTCCGCGATCTAGCGAACTTCTGAGGGGGATAAAGGACATTTTGGAGCGCGGGTTCCGGGTTTTTCTGACAACCGTCGCTGTTTTGTCGCTTGAAGAAAGTTGCTCGGAGTCGCGTTCGCGCGCATGGACTTGTTTGTGTGTGTCATTTTACAACAGATAGTAGAGCCGAGGACTCTAATGAAATGAGTAGCAACTACAGCGAGGAGCTGGACTTCAGGCTGATTTTCGGGGAGAGCAGTTTCAGCCACACAGGTCTGTACACTACTTCCACCATTATAATCAGTTAAGCAGAAGCCATGCTGCAGCTTCCCGTTTTCTGAAACTAATTCTACGGGTTTTTACAGAAGTGGCCATGTTTGTTGTGAATACGTGAAACTGGTTTTCTGAATAGTCACTTCCTTATCTTCCAGCATCAAAGTGGTGCGTGCAGTCGACGCGCTGAAAGAGGAAGGTCAAAGACTAATCATGCGAAACATCTTTAAAACATGCGTGTTTGTACTTGTGTTTGAGGTTAAATGTGCTGGTTTTACTAAACTGCAAGCTGCCACAGGTGCATTTGTATGTTAGTAGTTGTAGTATTACTGGCACTGAGCATGACATTGTACTTCCCTACATTCTGTATGCTTAACAACTTTTAAACATGCAGGTTTTACTTTATCTATGAATTAAAATGGGCTGTTTTTTAGACAAAAATGCCATAAGTGCTTTTGTTATTGTCGTTGTTGTTAATAATAGGTTAAAATGATGATGTTAATAATAATAATAATTATTATTGTTATTATTATTATATCATCACATCCTCATTGTTTATATTATTATTATTATTATTATCATTGTTATTACTGTCACTCAGCATACCACTGTACTTACCTACATACAGTATGCTAAACAACTTATAAAACCTGCATGGCATAACAAAAATGTCATAATTGCATTTGTTATAGTCGTGGTAGTTAATAATGCTTCATTGTCATAATTTATTATTATGAATATGAATTTAATATATGAATATGACTTTATTAGATATAAAACTGCCATGATTGATTTTGTTATTGTTGTATCAGTAATACACTAATAGCAGTAATGCACTTATTATTATTATTTGCACTGAGCATCTCACTGTACTTCTCTACACTAATGTAAAACATATTCTCAAACATGCTTTGCAACTTAAAATTGTTAAAATTTACTGTTTTTCTAGACAAAAATGGCCAAAGTTGCTTTTGATATTGTTAATAATAATAAAAAGAAGAAGAGGAATATCAGCATCATTAATATCATCATCATCATCCACATTTTTATTATTTCAATAATTATTATTATTACTGGCTCTAAGCATGTCACTGTACTTCCCTACATACTGTAACCTAATCATCTTTTAAATATGCATGTTTTGCTTCATCTATAAATTATAATTGGCTGTTTTTTAGGCCAAAAATAGTCATTGTTGTTAATAATGCTTTAATATCATAATTTATTATTATTATTATAATATCATCCTTATTATTTATATTATTAGGATTGTAATGATCATCATCGTCATCATCATCATACTATTGATTTTCTACATACTTTATGTTAAACATCTTTTAAAACATGCATGTTTTACTTCATGTATGAATTTACTAGATGTAAAACTGCCATGATTGCTTTTGGTATTGTTGTTATTACTGTTGCTGTTATACACTGTATTGCTGTTATATACACTAATTATTATTAGCACTGAGCATTTCACTGTACTTTTCTGCACTAATGCCAAAAAATCTTTTCAAACATTATTTTTTTAACTTAAAACTATTAAAATGGACTATTTTTCCAGACAAAAATGGCCATAATTGCTTGTGATATTGTTAATAATAATAAAAAAGAATAATATCAGCATCGTTATTATCATCATCATCATCCACATTATTATTATTACTGGCACTGAGCATGTCACTGTACTTCCCTACATACTGTAACCTAAACAACTTTAAACATGCATGTTTTACTTTATCGATGAATTACAATTGGCTGTTTTAGGCAGAAAAATCCAATAATTGCTTTTGTTATTGTCGTTGTTGTTAATAATGCTTTCATATCATAATTTATTATTATAGTAATATCATCCTTATTATTTATATTATTATGATTGTCATGATCATCATCGTCATCATCATTATATTACTAATTCTCTACATACTTTAGGCTAAACAGCTTTTTAAACATGCATGTTTTACTTTATGTATGAATTCACTGGACATAGAACTACCATGATTGCTTTTGTTATTGTTGTTATTACTACTAATAACAGTAATACACTTATTATTATTATTATTATTAATATTATTATTATTATTATTATTATTATTATTATTATTATTATTAATATTATTATTATTATTATTATTATTATTATTATTATTATTATTATTTGCACTGAGCATCTCACTGTACTTCTCTACACTAATGTAAAAATATCTTTTCAAACATGCTTTATCAACTTATAATTGTTAAAATTGACTGTTTTTCTAGACAAAAATGGCCAAAGTTGCCTTTGATATTGTTAATAGTAATAAATAGAATAATATCAGCATGATTATCTTCATCATTGTCTTTCTTCTTCTTCTTCTTCTTCTTCTTCTTCTTCTTCTTCTTCTTCTTCTTCTTCTTCTTATTATTATTATTATTCTTATTATTATTATTATTATCACTATTACTGGCACTGAGCATGTCACTGCACACATTCTGTATGCTAAACAACTTTTAAACATGCAGGTTTTACTTTATCTATGAATTATAGATTATATTATAGATTATATTATAATCGGCTGTTTTTTGGGCAAAACATGCCACAATTGCTTTTGATATTGTTGATGTTAATAATATTAATAATAATAATATTATTATTAATAATAATAATAATACTAATTATTATTATTATTATTGTTGTTACTATTATTACAACAATATTACTAACTATTATTATTATTTATAATATTGTTTATATTATTATTATGATCATTATTTTTACTGGCACTGAGCATGTCACTGTACTTCCTTACATACTGTATGCTAAACAACTTTAAAAACAAAACATTTTACTTTATATATGAGTTAGACTTAGCAGTTAGCTACCATAACTGCTTTTGTATGTTGTTATTATTATTGTGGTAGTATTTATTTATTTATTTATCCTGGCACTGATCATGTCACTCTACTTCTCTACATACAGTACGCCATTGTTGAAGTGTTCAATGCAAAGTGCACTTCCTCTGTAATCCGCCTCCTCCATCGGTAGGTAAACCTGGCTGATAACGAGGTTGAACTCACCGCAATTCCCCTTTCAAGTTTTTATTGCTGGACATTTGCCTGATGAGGCTGGAGTGTGGTCAGGGTGTATTACATTATGGCCGTCAGATAGTCTTATCACTGTGACAGCATCCCCAGCTCGTGGACCTGTGTTTGTGTGTGTGATGTTAATGGTCAGCTACTGTTGTGCTGTGAACGAGCCATAAGAGCATCTCTCCTAATACATTTGCCAAGTACCTAAATTAATGGTTAAGATTTCTTTACACTCTTGATAACATTTCTATAGCTGGCATTGTCTGCAGGGCATCACTGATATAAAGGAAGCCAGTCAACATTACTGATGATATTGTTATCATGAGCACTTAAAGATACAGAGACGACTTATTATTTTAGCTTCTGGTCTATTTAGGAATACTCAGATTGTTGCATTAGTAGTTGTTCTTCTTCACCAAAGTCATTTTGTTGGAGCAAACACAACGAAACGGGTGGGATGGGATTTCATAGCTAGTCAGTGATAAACAGTCTGTATATGAACACAATCTTTCTGGCTTTCTAATTGTCAGTGCATGAGATTCCTATTTTCTGATGCAAATGATCTAACAGTGCCACCGTACGGTCCGTAAAGAATTTACAAAACAACGTTTAAATGTTCTCCTTTATAGATGCTGAGATGTTGATTCAGACATCAATTAAATTGTAATATATGACATCCAAGGCAGAATACTATGGATGCAAGTAGCATTTGAATACATGGCAGAAGTCTGAGATGCTCTTTTTTAGATTTATCAACCAGCAAAACACAAACAAAATGGCGTCCCGTCCAGTGCTTGATTTCACTAACTGGTTTTCATTCACTCCTTCAAGTTGGCTTGACTCAAGTGCTAAAAAGTGGCGGCATGGTGGCTCAGTGGTTAGAACTGTTGCCTCACAGCAAAAAGGTTGCTGGTTCAAGTCCCGGCCAGGCCAGTTAGCATTCCTTTGTAGAGTTTGTATGTTCTCCCTGTGTTTGCAAGCGGTGGATATGAGATATAAGCGATTGGGTAAACAAAATTGGCCTTAGTGTGTGAATTCGAGAGTGTATGGGTGTTTACCAGTAGTGGGTTGTGCCTGGAAGGGCATCCGCTGCGTAAAACATATGCTGGAATAGTTGGCGGTTCATTCCGCTGTAGTGACCCCTGATAAATAAGGGACTAGGTCGAAGGAAAATTAATAAATGCAAAAAGTACCTTACGTTCAACATGTTTGTCCACCTTCAGACTATCGGCAAGTAACGGCTACTCAAATTTCTTGTCTTCCCCTCTAGAATCCAGATCAGATGATGATGCCAACTGCTACCCTCTCTATCCTTCTGAACCCCATTTTCCTACAGAACAGCTGGACAACTGTACAAACCAGCCATATGGCACCCCTAACCCTGGTTCTGTCCAACCTATGGAGTCTCCCAGCAGGGTGTTTGACTGTCCTAGCATCCAGATCACCTCCATCCCAGCCAATTGCCTCCAAGACCCAGGAACCCAGCAGTTGGACCAGTCCACAGGTGCTTGTGCTGAAGTCGGTGCTGGATCCCTATCAAGGGACCAGCTCTTTCTACCATTGGATGCATCCTACAGGGACACGTCCTCCCTGTGTCCTAGCCCCTGCAGTAGTTTGTCCTCCCGTAGCTGGTTGTCTGATGCCTCGTCTTGCGAGTCTTTCTCACACATATATGATGATGTGGAGGCAGAGCTGAATGAGGCAGCCGCTCAAGTCCGTCTTGCATCTCCTCTAGTGTCTCCATTGCCGTCTCCTCTACCGTCCCCTCTTAACTCTCCCCAGGCATCTCCGCAAGTCTCTCCACTTGTTTCACCCTTTGGTTCTCCCGGATGTATGGCTGCTTACGGAGATGATCCTTGGTACCGTTACCAACAGTATCATCAGCAATCTCTGCAGTATCCGTTTGCCCAGTCTCTATCTCCGTATCAATCCCCCCGCACCAGCATCACTGAGGAAACATGGCTCAGTCCGCGTCCACACTCCTCCTCCTCGCGGCCCTCCTCTCGACCAACCTCGCCATGTGGGAAAAGGCGACATTCCAGTGCAGAGGTCATTCCTGGTTTGGCGTCCCCTCACCTTTCCCCTAATGCAACTCCATCTCACTCTCCTCGCGGGAGTGTCACTGAGGAATCCTGGATGGGTGGAGCCACGTTTGCCCCATACCACACCCTTCCAGTGGACGTGGATGTCCCATCCAAAACCAGAAGAACTTATCAGGCAAACCACAACCAGGATCAAGCATCTTTGTTTTCTGGGCAAGAGGACTCGGGGCTTCAAGACCAAGGCCTTGCAAACTCAGGCATAGCTGTATCCCTGCCCAGCTTAAAGAAAGAGGATATAGTGGAACACTTCTTAGCCGTTCCAACACCCTTCTCCTGGGTCAAACCCAAGCAAGCCAGCACTTTATACAGGTAAACTACATGTGCTTGATTGTTCCCTCTTTGGTTTTGAATAAGGGTCAGTTAAAGAGCAAGTCACAGGGGGTTTTAAAGTTTGGTAATATTGTGTCGGAGTCTGATACAACAAGTTTTAATGCATTTAAGGTGCACTAAATAGTCAGTGTGACATTCACATTTATAGTGTTTGTTTTGCTAGAGCATATTGTTATTCTTTAGGTGTTTCCCAACTCTGTTCTTAAAGACAGACTAACGGTACAAATTTTCAACCTCTTCTTAATCCAACACACCTGGATCAACTTATCAGAACATTAGAAGAGACTCCAAAACCTAAATCGAATGGGTCAGATAAGGGACAAAATAATGTACTGTTGATGTTGGTGTATAACTGTTTACATTACAGCATGGCTATCTTACAAACTACAAACGAGGTGTTTCTCGAAAACCCATAAGACCTGCTCCTTTATGACAGATTGTTGGCCTTGTTCTTCCAACATTTATGCAACTAATAGGGTACTAACAATGGGTGTTCTGTTTCACTGTCCACTGCTCACAAACAACAGCCACCATTGTTCTCTTTTTACACACTCAGGTCAACTTCTTTACCTCCGCTGGATTGTCCTCTGCCCAGCCAGTATGGTCAGTGTGAGCTGAAGATGGAAATTCAACCTAGAGCTCACCACAGAGCACATTATGAGACGGAGGGCAGTCGAGGGGCCATTAAATCAGAGTGCGGAAGACACCCTGTTGTAAAGGTCAGTCTTTACACCTGATCTCAGATCAGCCTTTAATTGATTTCCCCCATCCTTCAAGGTCCATTTCCTGTGCAATAAAATTATATATGTTGTATGGATATAATAAAAAGTAATTTCAGTTTATGCTCTATGCTTTATTCCGTGATGTCACAAAATACATTGCTTATGGTAATTCTTATATAAGGGCAACATTACACAACGTTACAGGGATACAAACATGGGTTCTAGTGTTTTCATGATACTGGAATTCGGTACCAGTCGATACAAAAATTTTAAAAACACCAATTTGAGCACATACTTAAACACTGCTGATTTGCCATTTTGTTCACGTGCTCAACAGACATGACTGTGATTGGCCATGAAGGTCATCAGTTCACCAAACTCACCGCTGTTTACTGTGCGTAACATAGATACAGGGACACTGGAGCATTTTAGAGCTGCGATCCATCAGCGGATCGCTCGTATGTCAGCTTATAGACCATAAGTCTCAAACTCTATTCCTGGAGGCCCGCAGCTCTGCACAGTTTTGCTCCAATCCTAATCAAATAAATTTATCTAATCTAGGTGTTTAAGACTACTAGATACTATTAAGCAGGTGTGAGTTGCAGAGTTGCCGCCCACCGTGAATTAAGCTTGAGACCATTGTTATAGAAAACCCAGCTGATCAATGTGACTTTAAAAACGCTCCGTTGTCCCTGTGTAACTGGTTACACTCAGTAAACATCGGTGAGTTTGTTGAACTGATGACCTTCACGGCCAATCACAGTAATTTCTGTTGAGCATGTGAACACAACGGTCAATCAGTACTTTTTAAGAAATAGCTCAAATGTTTCCGGGAAATGGTTTTAAAAATTTCAGTATCGATTGGTGCCAAAGTCCAGTATCATGACAAGATTTCGGTGGGCTTGGGGGTGTCTCGGAGGAATGTGAAGAACAGAAAAGGGGGTATTGTGGACAAGACTAAAGAGTGGGAAAGGAGGGTGGTGGTTTGGGTTGAAGGTCGCAGGGGGGTGGTTGGCTGGATTGGAGGTGTCTTGGACAAAGCGAACAGCGGTTGGTGTGGGGTTGCGGTGGTTGTCACAGATGAAAGTGAAGACCGCGGGGGTTTGGGGATGGGGTTAGTCTGGTGCCCCAAAACAGCATGGGCCTTCTAGCCTTGTTTATACTTCTGCGTCGAGTGAACGGCGTGACCTACGGCGCCTGTCTTGCGCGTAGCCGTGCATTTATACTTCTGCGTGCTGTTTGTGTTCCTTTCCAATTACACTTCAGAAACGCTAGCTGGCAATAGGTGTTTATGTTCCTCTGTGTTGAGTTTCTTTGCTGGTGTTTTGTTGTATTCTGAACTCTACCCTAATGTACAAGTAGCTCAAACTCGCTAAACTGAGTCTGGTTCTCTCAAGGTTATTTTTCTTCACTCTCCTATTGGTGAAGTTTTTTTCCCTCTCCGCTGTCGCCACTGGCTTGCATGGTTCAGGATCTGAAAAGCTACTCATCGATGAATTCGCTCTTCAGTGTTTGGACTCTCAGTAATGATTTAAATCACACTAAACTGAGCTAAACTGAACTGAACTTAAACGCTAACTGAACTACCCTGATTCAGTTACTATGACCATTTATGTGAAGCTGCTTTGACACAATCTACATTGTAAAAGCGCTGTACAAATAAAGCTGAAATGAATTAATTCAGAGGCGAGAACCGGCAAACGTGCAACAATTTTAATCATAAGGTAAACACAAAACAACAGTTTCTATCTAGAGCTCCTTTACGGGACTCCACACTTGTAAACACTCGCTGCATCGGGCTCGCACGGCTCTCATCTCCGCCCACATTCGTCAACGCTACTAAGCCGACCAATCACAGAGCTTACACTACGCGTCATTGCAATGTGTAGGTATATTTTTTGAGAGGTGCGTGTCAGGGTCTCCGACGGCCACGGCGAAGGATATGCGTCCACGTGCGCTTGACGCACAAGTATAAATCAGCCTTTAGAATCATCCTGAAGCCCCCCAAGTTATGATTTTTATGTAACTTAAGTTTTCAACTTAAAGGGGAATAATTATGCCTCTTTTTACAAGATGTAAAACGCGTCTCTAATGTCGATATTGTTTATGTGAAATACCAAACAAATAATGTTTTGACCCTTTTTTTCTCTGATGCTAATTGTGCCGTTTTGTTGACTGTTGCTTTAAATTCAAATGAGATTGTTTTTTTTTTAAAGAGGGCAGGGCTACAAATGCCTGTGTGTCAGCATAGTGGCTGATTCAAAACAGGACTAACGTTACCCTTGTGAAAAACTGAAAATGTCTTAGTCCCTGAAACAGGGCCGGAGTGGGACTCCTTTTCAGCCCTGGAGTTTCAAGCCTCAACTGGCCCACCTCAGTTCACGACTAACTATATTAAAATAAGGTCATTTCCAAATTAGTTTCTAATTATACTATCATATCTTTTTTTGAGAAAACAGCTGCTTTAGAACTTCAAATGTTCAACAACCCTAACAGTATTATATGTGTTAACAATAAAAAAATAAATAAAAAATTACTCAAACGAGGATCAAACCCGGGTCGGCAGCGTCATAACCTAACGTGCTATCCAGTAGACCACAACAGCGGTATGTTAAGATATGACTCATCTGAGTTATATCATCATTAACCTGCAGGCTGCATCTTGCTCACGAGGCTGCAAGAAAATTGATAAAAAGAGCAGAGCTGCGGTAAAATAATGAATAAGAAAACTGTGGTCAAGTAAATAAATTAATTAATTTAAAAATTGTGACTGCTAAGAGCAATAGATTCTGGAGCTAGGGACACCAGCCCTCACGGCCAAAAAACGGACCGGCCCACTGGGAATTCTCCCGGTCCTCCCGATTAGCCAATCCGGGCCTGCCCTGACATTATCTTAGGCAGGTACAGTGTGAAAACTCTAATGTTGGATGGCTGCTTCTCACTCAGGACAGTCTATGCTAATGAGGGACAGCTGGTCACTAGTGGGCGGGGCTTTCCCCCTTTGATGACACATACAAAAGGAGAATGTCAATCAAAGTGTATCTTTCAATCAAGTGCGATTATAAAAATAGAATTAACTCATGTTTACCATTAGAAGCTGCTTATATTCACACACAACTGTGTTTAAACCCCTTATCAAAGTGATTTTTGCATAATAGGTGCCCTTTAAAACCTACTTTTTGCACTTCCATTTGTTGCCTCTGGTGAATTATAAATGGAAATACCTACAAGTGATTTACTGATTATGATTAATTATTAATAAAGTGTGTCGGCCATCAGTACCTAAAGTATATGTTCGTCATGGAGCATACAAACTGCATTGTGCACTTTTAAAATAACATGAACTTTTACAGCAATTGTCTCCATTGTTCTGGTAAATTGAGAAAGGCTTCCATACCTCAAGGTTTATTTGTAGCTCATCTGACATCTGCTGTATAGCGCAGGACAATAAAACATCAGGTCATTGTTTGCCTATATTTAATTATTCATATTAATGTCACAATAATGCACATTTTGGATCATAAATGAAGTTTAATTTGCCTCAAAAACAGACGAGGAGATAGATGAGATGAATGTCAGCCAGTCTTATGGACAGGACGTTGGATCCAGTCAGCTTGTGGTATTTATAACAACGCACGAGCTAATGTTACATGTGTCAGCCTGTTTGTTTACCCTAGCTACCTATGACACAAATGCCCATAGGACGAACAGATGCTCTGGGCTTTCAGAAATGATCACATGCAGAACTAGAAAAGGAAAGTTAGTCAACATAGGGGTTTGTTGACGTGACGTTGCATTTTCTCTGAGAATAATTAATATAAATCATTTCAATGTGGCCCATGAACATTTCCTGCCTGTTATCAAACGATTTCATAACTGTAACCAGAGGCAATTCAATCATAATTTAATGTTAAAACAGCTCTCATAATGTTATTTATCAATATGTGGCTCCTTTTAGATTCTCGGAAGCTACAGAAATTAAAAATGCACAGCAGGAAATACTTTGAGTCCATTGTTTTTGTTTACCACCCCTCACAATGGTCTATTATTAGTATCGTTAAACATTTTTTGTCTTCCAATCAATGGACATCTTGTTATAAACACTGCTTTGGTGTTAGATTTTTAAAACCGTCCTATGTTGTGACCATCTCAATGTGTTTTTCAATAAATTACAGCTATTATAAATTAAAAAGACTATAGTAAAATCATTATTGGCTACCTCAGGCCTTATTTTACAAGTGGCTATTTTAGTAAATTGCTATCCTTTTTTTAATACATATTTTAAGAGTTCACACTTAGATATTGCTTGATAATAGTAGCAGGAGTTGGCCCGGGAGAGAACCCTGAGCTCAGAGATAATTAAGCCCAGGGCTCCCTCTGATCGATGAGCATGTAAGGGGGGTTCAAGATCAGGTAGTTCTCGAGAGCTCCCCCTGGTAAAGGAAGAAAGGGGGAGATGGGGTGGATGGGGGGTGTCTTCGGAAAACGAAGATGAGAGAGTAGTTTTAGCCGGGCTAGTTATGAGTGAGATTGGATTAATCTGATTGGCTAGCTAATGATTGTAGATGAAAGACCCGCTGCGATCAATCATATTACCTGCTCCTCTCGAAAATATAATAGAGACTGAAAAAAATAGAGACTGGCGCATTTAGACAAGCATGTGTGACACTATATGCTCATTTAAAAATCAGCCAATTCCACAAAAAAAAAAAAAAAATTTAATTAGTTGATTTGTTTAATTAGGTTAAATTCAGGATCATGTGACAGAAGACTAAGACCTTCACATTAAGTTTTTGACTCGGAATTGATTAGATTCATTCATTCATTTTCCTTGGGCGTAGTCCCTTTATTCATCAGGGGTCGCCACAGCGGAATGAACCGCCAACTATTCTAGCAAATGTTTCACACAGCGAATGTGTTTCCAGCTGCCACATAGTACATGGAAACATGCGTACACACTCTTACACACACACTCATACACTACTGCCAATTTAGTGTATCCAATTCCCCTATAGCGCATGTGTTTGGACTGTGGGGGAAACCGGAGAACCCGGAGGAAACCCACGCCAACACTGGGAGAACATGCAAACTCCACACAGAAACACCAACTGAAACCCCGCCCACTATAGCATCTCTTCCTCTTTAGCATGTAACTTTAGTTTTAAAGTGAATCTGCCACTATGCTGACACACAGGCATTAGTAGCTCCGCCCTCATCTGAAAAGAGCACAATCTCATCTACATTTAAAGCAACAGTCACCAAAACGCAACAATTGCATCAAAACTTGAGAGTTATACAACATTATTTGTGTGGTATTGTAAACTGAAACCGCACTACATACTCTAAAGACATCAGACACTTATTTTCCACTTTGTAAAAAGGGGTCCGCTTCAAAGCTTTGACGGATGGTGTGTTATTTTAGAGTAACCAGTTGTGTCTTCATTCTTTCCCTAGCTCATCGGGTATAATGAGAAACCCGTCAGCCTGCAGATGTTCATCGGGTCGGCGGACGAGCGCTATATCCGGCCGCACCCCTTCTATCAAGTGCACAGGATTACTGGGAAAACGGTCGCAACGCCGAGTCAAGACACTGTAATATCCAACACCAAAGTTCTTGAAATTCCTCTCCTGCCCGAGAACAACATGTGCGCCAGGTACCTGTCAAACAAACATCTGATTTACATTCACCCTGCCCTGCACACACTGGAGAGAGAGAGAGAGAGAGAGAGAGCGCGCGGTTTTGCATAAGTGATGTATTGACATGGCTGACAGTTCAGTCTTTAGATGTTTAGATGTGTGGTTTCACACCTGCACAGACGAATAGCAACCGTGATGGTGAGGACTATGCCTACATTAATTATTATTTTTTAATTATTATTATTCCAAGACGGATGGCACGTTGGCTCAGTGGTTAGCAGGCCCCTCACTGCAAGAAGGTCACTGGTTCGAGTCTGGGCAGGGTCAGTTGGTATTTCTGTGTGGAGTTTTGTATTGGCGTGGTTTTCCTCAGGGTGCTTCGGTTTCCCCCACAGTCCAAACACATGTGCTATAGAGGAATTGATCAACTAAATTGCCTGTAGTGTATGAGTGTCTGTGTGTGAATGATTGTGTTTCCCAGTACTGGTTTGCCAGTCCGCTGCGTAAAACATACTCTGGAATAGTTGGCGGTTCATTCCGCTGTGGCGACCCCTAATAAATAAGGGACTAAGCCGAAAGTAAATGAATGAATAAAGAACAACATAAAAACACAATGTACACTTATTTTGTCCATCTGCTTGCAGTGTTTTTGAGCCTGAGATAACTATTGTACATACTCCAATACAGGGGGTCCCGAACTTTTCAGCCCGCGATCCCCAAAATAACAATGCCAGTGACTTGCGACCCCCAATATCCTCTGAGGTGGTTATAAATCTATAAACCTTGCACATACCGGCACACACATACCAATAGAACCAAGTCTGTATCGTTTAATCTTGGAGACCATCCTCCATGTTCAGTTGTTCATTAATTCATTAATTTTCTTGTCGGCTTAGTCCCTTTATTAATCCGGGGTCGCCACAGTGGAATGAACTGCCAACTTATTCAGCACGTTTTTACGCCGTGGATGCCCTTCCAGCCGCAACCCATCTCTGGGAAACAGCCACACACACACACACTACAGACAATTTAGCCTACCTAATTCACCTGTACCGCATGTCTTTGGACTGTGGGGGAAACCGGAGCACCTGGAGGAAACCCGCGCGAACGCAGGGAGAACATGCAAATTCCACACAGAGGTTCAAACCAACGACCCAGCGACCTTCTTGCTGTGAGGCAACAGCACTACCCACTGCGCCACTGCTTCACCCCTATGTTCAGTTGTATTTATTCTTAATGTACGCAAGTGCCATAAAGGTGTCAGAAAATTTAACCTGGTGTCATAAAATCAATATGCTGACACTAATGCTGTGTCTTTTATGTAATGTAATTACCCCAGGGGTCACAAAAAAAATCAAATGGCTTTTTTTCACGTTTTATAATGTTTATTATTAACATGCTACTTCATCTAATCGTTTAAAAAAATTTATTTGATTTTTGGAAATAGCCAAGCGACCCCTCTTCATTGTCCTGTGACCCCCCCCGAGGGGTCCAGACACCTACTTTGGGAACCACTGCCCTAATATGTCAGAAGAACTGAAACCTGGCTTTACCAAGTCTTGGTGAAATGTATGCAAATTTGCACATATTTAATTAAATTAATCACCAATTCGGTTTGTAAGAAACATTTAAGTCGAAGGAAAATGAGTGAATTAATTATTCCAGCTAGCTATTTAGCAATATAAAGAGTACAGTGAACGAATGCAACCCCTTGACACAATATTGAATAAGCAGGAAATTAGAAAGGCAACACAGTGGAGCAGTGGGTATCATGATCGCCTCACAGCAAGCAGGTCGCTGGATCAGGCCTCGGCTGAGTCAGTTGGCATTTCTGTGTGGAGTTTGCATGTTCTCCCCGTGTTGGTGTGGGTTTCCTCTGGGTGCTCTGGTTTCCCCCACAGTCCAAACACGTGCACTACATATGTGCTAAAATTGACTGTAGTGTATGAGTGTGTATGGGTGTTTCCCAGTGATGGGTTTTTGCAGCTGGAAGGGCATCCGCGGTGTTAAACCAATGCTGAATAAGTTGGCGGTTCATTCCACTGTGGCGACCCCAAATTAATAAAGGGACTAAGCTGAAAATAAAATGAATGAAATAAGAGGGATTTTTTAAATAAATAAAAAATAAAATGCAATTAATATTATTAATAATAATACAATAAAAGTAATCAGGTTGCATGAAAAATCTCACAATGAATCACATTTCTTATTATCAATTAATCTAAGTGAATTAAAATCTAAGTGAAAGCCTATAAGAGTTGGTATGATTTAAAGAAACCTCTGTTTGTAAAAAAAAAAAAAAAGTATAAGAACGTTTATAGTAGCTTCTAAGCATTTGTTTTGGTTTTCAAAATGGCACCTTTATTATCGCTGTGTTATTTTACATGGAGTGCATTGCATCATGGGAGCTGATTGTTGAGATTAACGTTAACTAGTTAAGTGCAAATTTTTTATTTTGGTGCGTTTTTTATTATGACTAATAGATGAAATTAGCCATGGCTAAAGCAAGACAGAGTCTGTGAGTTGTTATTGTTATTTCTGTGCAGATGTTTATATTATTAAATAAAATAAAAGTGGATTTATGCATATGTTTAGCTGAAAACATGAATTCATTAATTTTCCTTTAGCTTCGTCGTTATTTATCAGGGGTTGTCACAGTGGAATGAATCATCAGCTATTCCAGCATATGTTATAAACAGCGGATGCCCCTTCAGCTGCAACCTAGTACTGGGAAACACCCGTACACTGTCACATTTACACACTCACAAACACTACGGCCAATTTAGTTAATCAGTTCCCCTATAGCGCATGTGTTTGGATTGTGGGGGAAACCGGAGCACCCAGAGGAAACCCACGCCAGCACGGGGAGAACTTGCAAACTCCACACAGAAATGCCAACTGACCCAGTGGAAACTGGAACCAGCAACCTTCTTGCTGTGAGGCCACAGTGCTGACCACTGAGCCACTATGCTGCCCGTAACAGAAACGTCTTATTCTGATGTTATTTAGTTCATGCAGGTCTCATAAATGCAGTCAGCTTCTGCTCTTCACACATCAGCTTCATTTCCCTGGAAAAGAGCGATTTTCTTAAATAAACAGAGCTGAATGGACTGTAATGTTTGATGGTTGCCTTTTATCTTTCTTTGAAAGCATCGATTGTGCCGGGATCCTGAAGCTGCGAAACTCAGACATCGAGCTGCGTAAAGGAGAGACCGATATCGGGCGTAAGAACACGCGTGTGCGAGCTGTTTTCCGTGTTAACATCCCTCAACACAATGGGAAATTGCTGTCTCTGCAGGTGGCGTCCTCACCTATAGAGTGCTGTGAGTTATGCTCTGTGCTCATGCTTTCACTGTGTTAAACATTGTATATACAGTTGAAGTCAGAGTTATTAGCCCCTCTTTATATTGTGTCCCCCAATTTCTGTTCTGAAGATTTTTTCAGCACATTTCTAAACATAATAGTTTTAATAAATAAATTCTAATAACTGATTTCTTTTGTCTTTGCCATGATGACAGCACATATTTGCATAAAATAAAATATTTTATTTGATAAAGATTGTAATGTACATGAGTTCTGTAAAGGTAACAAAGTCTACTATGGTGCGCTGAAATATTCTGCTGCAGTTGACACCGTTGCTGCGTCATTATAATATAATATATAATATTTTTTTTAATATAACTATTAAACACTATTAAGCATAGTTTAATAACAAATTAGATTTTTGCAAATCATAAAGCGACCCCCACACATTGTCCCGTGACCCACACATTGGGAACTAGTGCTGTCGGCAAATCCAAAACAAATATTGCTTAAGACGGCTGATAATATTTAAGCTTAAAAAATTAAAAACTGCTTTTATTCTAGCCAAAATAAAACAAATCAGACTCTCTACAGAAGAAAAAATATTATAGGAAATACTGTGAAAAATTCCTGAATCTCTTCAACATCATTCGGCAAATATCTGAAAAGGAAATGTGGCTGCTGTTTAATTTATTCAGCTACTATTCTACTCACATAACGTCCTATTTTTTCTCCCTGCAGTGTAGTGTGGATGTTTTAGAGATTACGATTTGGATTTAGATTCTGAAAGTGTTAACAAACCCCACTGATAACCAGATCCTCTGTGTTTTACACTCGTTGTTTTCCTCCGTTCTCCAGCCCAGCGTTTGGCTCAGGAGCTTCCTCAAGTGGAGAGCTTCAGTCCTGCCTGTGGATCAGCATCTGGAGGAGAAGAGATGCGAATAACAGGACAAAACCTTAATTCAGAGTCCACCGTCGTCTTCCTAGAAAAGGGCTCTGGTGAGTCAGATCATGTTTATTTACTACGATTTTCACTTAATGGTAAAATCAAATAGTGTGTAGAAGCAAACCCAATAGTCTTGTGATGAATATTTGGATGACAGTCATTTATTCATTCATTTTCTTGTCAGCTTAGTCACTTTATTAATCTGGGGTCGCCACAGCGGAATGAACCGCCAACTTATCCAGCAAGTTTTTACGCAGCGGATGCCCTTCCAGCCGCAACCCATCTTGAAATTAGATGACAGTTTCCCATGTAAATGACATCTGTCTTTATTTTTCCATTCCAGATGGTAAAACACAATGGGAGGTCAACGTGAGGCCTTTACCGGAGAAGAGTCAAAACGTGAGCACTGTAAACATTATGCTATGAAACGCTGCAATTCCTCATTTTCTAGCGTAACGTATGCTACATTGAGGTCTATAATACAGCTGTCTCTGAAGTTTTGTGTGTTCCCATTCCTGTTTAGACAAGCATAGTGGTGAAGATTCCTCCGTACTACAAGAAAACCACGGCTTCCTCCACGCAGGTGCAGTTTTATGTCACCAATGGCAAGAGGAAGAGAAGCGGCTCACAGTTCTTCACCTTTCTCTCAGGTAACCCTCCGTCTGCAAGTCTAGTCCTGCAGTTGGTTGTAAAAGTAGAGGAAAACAGCGGCCGTATTCACAAACCATGTTCACCCTTGTGGGATTGTTTAAATTGACTACCCTTTGGTTTTGTTGGGGGGCTGTTTTTGCCCCATTGACTTCCATTATAATTACTTTTTTTTGTTTTTGAATGCAAAGCCATGACAGCAGATAATTATGCCTTCTTGATTGATGCTGGTTTTCCCTGCTGGAAAGAGGTCCGATTTGTCATTTTTACTGCTGATCATCAGTTGGCAGCAATAATCAGTTAACACAAATTAATTAGAGATAAAGAGAGACTATTTATCAATCCATTCAGCCGATCTCCAGGTTTAATATTTAGCTTAGCTTAGCATAATGCATTGAATCAGATTAGACCATTAGCATCTCGAATCTGAATTTGCCTCAATTTCGTCTTATGTGCAAGTTCAAATTATAGAACTCACGTGAAAGATTCAGCATTAGCATCCTTTTTTCATCTTTATAACCCTCTCGGGTAACCCTCTGTCTACAAGTCTAGTCCTGCACACAGGTGTAAAAGTAGAGTAAAACAGTGGTCATTGTATTCGCAAAACATCTGAAACAGATAGTTTGGCCAGAAATAAAAATGTTGGCATCATTTACTCACCCTTTACTTGCTTCAGTTCAATTTCACCCTTAATGTTGAACACAAAATAAGATACTTTGAATAATGCTGGAAATCTGTAATCATTTACTTCCATAGTATTTGTGTTTTCTACTTTGAAAGTCAAGGTTTTACCATTTACCAACCCATTTAGCCGATCTCCAGGTTTAAATTTTAGCTTAGCTTAGCATAATGCATTGAAACAGATTAGACCATTAGCATCTTGAATCTGAATTTGCCTCAATTTTGTCCTATGTGCAAGTTCAAATAATTTAACTCAAATGAAAAATTCAGCATTAGCTTTCTTTATCATCTTTATAACATTTACTCACCCTTTACTTGTTTCAGTTCAATACAAACCTTTATGTTGAACACAAAAGAAGATGCTTTGAATAATGCTGGAAACCTGTAACCATTGACTAAAAGACAACGGTGATGGGTTTTCAGCTTTCTTCAAAATATCTTTTTTTTGTGTTTAATACAAGATAGAAAGTGTTTATAATCACTCAAGGGCAAGTCAATTTTAGAATTGGATTGCATCTGTGTTGTAAAAGTAAATAATAATAATTTCATTTTAAGAAACTTTTTTTTTTAAATAGACTAATTTTATAACTCCTCTAGAGATAAAGAGTTTTACTGTTTATAACACAATCAGCTAATCTCCCGGTCAATTATTTAGCTTAGCTTAGCATAATGCATTGAATCAGATTAGACCATTAGCATCTCGCTCAAAAAAATGTAAAGGCATTTGAATTTGCCTCAAACTCATCTTATGTGCAAGTTCAAATAATTTAACTCAAGTGAAAAATTCATCATTAGCATTCTTTATCATCTTTATAACCCTCTCGGGTAACCCTCTGTCTACAAGTCTAGTCCTGCACACAGGTGTAAAATTAGAGTAAAACAGTGGTCATCGTATTCGCAAAACATCTGAAACAGATAGTTTGGCCAGAAATAAAAATGTTGGCATTGTTTACTCACCCTTTACTTGCTTCAGTTCAATTTCACCCTTTATGTTGAACACAAAATAAGATACTTTGAATAATGCTGGAAATCTGTAATCATTGACTTCCATAGTATTTGTGTTCCCTACCCCTCACAGTGACATCACTCGCTCCATTTGAGTGCATTGTGTCTGACATTGCATCGCTGAGAGAAGCAATCTCAGCTTGCATCATAAAGGCTGCATCCAGATACTATTGGATAAGAAAACTCATAAGGGTTTATAATCAGGGTCAGTAAATTTTGCCATTAGATTAGATTTGCATTGTAAAAGTAAAAATAATAAAAATATTAATAATAATTTAAGTTTATGAATTTTTAAATGGGTCAATTTTTAGCTTAGCTTAGCATAATCCATTGAATCAGATTAGACCATTAGCAACTCGCGCAAAAAAATGTACAAGCGTTTGAATTTGCCTCATTTGTGTCTTATATGCAAGAAATATATTTATAGTTATCATTCTTGATATGAATGGCTCTTTATTTATGATAATTTAGAAAAGCTACATGAAGACTTCATCAACACAGGGTTCCCAGGGTTCATGGAATTTCTGGGAAAACATAAAACTTTTTAAAAGTCTATTCCAGACACCGAAAGTTAGTGGGAATTTTTTTTTTGGTGTGGAAGTCATGTAAAATCAGGGATTTTATTTTTTACTTCCATTTATTCAAGTTATTTTTTCTATTGCATGTTTTTTTTTCTATTTTTATTTTTTACTGTAGTATATTATATAATAGATGTCATAAATGATCGCTGATAAAATTACAAATATAGCTAATTAGGTTGTGAGCTAATTACTGACTTTTTTTGCTTTTGGAAGTAGAATTTAGTCAGTGTGGTTTTGTGTAAAAACAAATTCTTATTTAATGCAATAATGAATTTTATATATATATATATATATATATATATATATATATATATATATATATATATATATATATATATATATATACATAATAAAATTCATTATTGCATTAAATAAAAATTTTAAAATTAAAAAAAAATTAATTAGCCTACAGAATATTGTTTATTGTATTAATATATTGTTTCCTGAACAAATGCAATGTTAAATTGTGATTAAAGAGATGCATTTTATTGTATATAACTAAAATGTAACTAAAAAGCTATATTTGCATAACCAGTATTGAGAACTGAGCATAGTGCTCATTATAGTTAATGAAAATACAGGTTTATTGTAAGTAAAATCAAGGAAAATCAGAAAACTGGCGTAACCATAGCCCTAACCTGAACCTTGTGAATCTCAATTAGTCAGCACATTATAGTAGTTGGTAGGGATGTAACGGTATTGTAAATACCGTCATACCGCAATATTAATTTTTTTCGATATTACCGAAGTCGCATGACTCGGTAAAACTATAGGTCTTCTGAGAAAATTTGCTCAGGCGAATGAAGCGAACGGGACGTAGCTGAAACTTCATTTCCCATCAGCCCAGGCGTGGCCATAATCCTTTGCGGTCTGTTGTCGCTACAGATCCAGTAATGCGGAAATGGAGTGTGCTGCTAGTAGCGGAGATGAAAAAAGATGGAAATGATCGAACCTAAAGCGGGTGTTGTCGCCGCGCGCGTGCTGAATAGCGGTGCTGTCGCGCGCGTTCTGATCAGCTGTGTTGTGGCGCGCGTTCTGATCAGCTGTGTTGTGGCGCGCGTATTGTAAAGCGCCGAGGGGGGGTTGAGCGCGCATATTCAAGAGAGGTGTTGTCGCGCGCCTACTGAAGGGCTGGATTGGACGGAGGTTGTGTCGCGTCGCGGGGGCACTTTTGATCGTTTTGGAAGGGCATTTTCTATCCAAGACTAAAAAGGGCATGTGCACTGCACAGGTTGAGCCCTATGTGTGCACGTGCCTGCAAGTTGGGGAATACGACTAATAACAGTCATGGGGACTGCAGAAACACAGCACACTGTTCAGATTGATGCAGACATTGACTTGTACCGCAAAGAGATCGCTATCTCACTCATGGCTTGTCCTCTCAAGTGGGGGAAAGACAATGCACAACGTTACCCACTGCTGTCAACATGGGCCAAGTCATATCTCTCTTGTCCCAGAAACCTCAGTCCCAAATGAGAGGTTTTTTTTCTGTTGCAGGGGACATTGTAAATACCCAGAGATACCAGCTTTTACCAGATTATAATTATATGATAATTTTCCTTTAAACCCATCTCTATCTAAGTGAGTGAGTGATTAAATGTTGAATGTGGTGAGTTTTCAACAATACTAAATTGAAACTTTATTTTTTTACATGGTTTAATAATTTTTTGTTATTAAAATTGAAGTTAGTGTTTCAAAGCTTACAGATAGATGGCTAATTTGTATGTCATTGACACTTTTGGCACTTTTTTGGAGTATTTTCAAAAGTTTTTTTTTCCTGTAAATGATTCAATAAATACCGTACCGTGACATTCATACCGAGGTATTACCGAACCGTGAAATTCTGATACCGTTACATCCCTAGTAGTTGGTCAAAAGTTTTAAGCTGACCTGTAATGTGTTGAATGCTCTTCCTCCAAGCAGCGCAGGTCAAGCAGGAGTTTAGCACACAGCCTGCCGCTCCTTCAGGTCAGACTGAGCTTCTGGAGCAATGGCTGCTTTCTGAAGAGACGCTCTGTGCTTCGACACATCTCAGTTTCTCACCTCAGGATGCTTCATATCTGAGCCGCTCTCATCCAGCTGACAGGAGCTTTAATTCCAGAACGGATCTCCACTCCATGTTTCCTTCTTCACTAATTGAATTCAACAGCTCTTTGTACCAAAAACCTCATCAGGATCCTTCCTACAAAGCACAACCCAGTCTTCCAGTGGCTTTTCCGGAGCAAACAGCGACTCAATTGGACAAAGGATACCAATGCATTCGCAGTCAGAATCTGGACAATCTTATCTTGGATGCTTCAGGTCTGCACACCATGGCTGCGGTTTCAATCCCACAGTCCTCCTCTTCCCAGGGGCTTCCTACAGTCTCCAAAGTGCCTTCTACATCTCCGTCGACTAGCAAGAACGCTGAACCGGCCAGCGCATCTCTTGTGGAGTCCAGCGAACAGTACTGTGTGTCTGAAAATGGAGATCGCCTTAACATTAAAGAGGAACCGGAGGAAGAGAAAGAGCTGGATTTCCAGTCTGTGGGCCTGCAGGATATCACTCTCGATGACGGTAAAACTATTGACTTGATCACTGTTAAAACCCTCACACTTAATACACTTGATTTAACATGTACACATAGACATCACACATGTACAGTGCATCAGGAAAGTGTTGATAGCGCTTCACTTTTTCCACCTGTTTGTATGTTCCAGCCTTATTCCAAAATGGATTGAATTGATTTATTTCCTCAACATTCTACACACAATCCCCCATAATGACAATGTGAAGAAAGAGTTTTTAAAATTGTTGCAAATTTATTTAAAATAAAAAATGTGAAAAATCAGATGTACATCAGTATTCACAGCTCATTACTCTGTTGATGCACCTTTGGCAGTGATTACAGCCTCAAGTCTTGTTGAATATGACGCCACAAGCTCTGCACACCTGTCTTTGGAAATTTTGGCCCATTCCTCTTTGCAGTACCTCTCAAGCTTATTAGGTTGGATGGGAGGCGACGGTGTGCAGCCATTTTCAGATCTCTCCAGAGATGTTCAATAGGATTTAGGTCTGGGCTCTGGCTGGGCCACTCAAGGACATTCACTGAGTGGTTGTGAAGCCGCTCCATTGATATTTTGGCGGTGTGCTTTGGGTCATTGTCCTGCTGGAAGATCGCCCCAGTCTGAGGTGGAGAGCACTCTTGTGCAGGTCTTCATTCAGGATGTCTCTGTACATCGCTGCATTCATCTTTCCCTCTATCCTGACTAGTCTTCCAGTTCCTGCTGCTGAAACACATTCCCACAGCATGATGCCAACACCACCATGCTTCACTGTAGGGATGCTGTTAGCCTGGTGATGAGCGCTGCCTGCTTTCCTCCAAACATAACGCCTGGCGTTCACTCCAAACAGTTCAGTTTGAGTCTCATCAGAGCAGAGAGTTTAGTTTCTGATGCTCTGAGAGTGCTTCAGATGGTAAACTCCAGGTGGGGAGTGTCTTCCGTCTGGCCACTCTACCATACAGATGCCTGATTGGTGGATTGCTGCACAGATGTCCTTCTGTTAGGTTCTCCTCTCTCCACAGAAGAATGCTGAAGTTCAGACAGAGTGACCATCGGGTTATTGATCACCTCCCTGACTAAGGCACTTCTCCACTGATCACTCAGCTTAGATGTCCGGCCAGCTCTAGGAAGAGTCCTGCTGGTTAAACATCTTCCACTTACGGATGATGGAGGCCGCTGTGCTCAGTGGAGCTTTCAGAGCAGCAGAAATGTTTCTGTAAGCTTCCCCAGCCTTGTGCCTCCAGACAATCCTGTCTCGGAGGTCTACAAACAATTCCTTTGTCTTCATGCTTGGTTTGTGCTTTGACATGCACTGTCAACCCTGGGGCCTTATATAGACAGGTGTAGCCTTTTCAGATCATGTCCATCAACTGTACTGACCACAGGTGAACTCCAATGAAGCTGCTGAAACATCTCAAGAATGATCAGTGGAAACAGAATGAACCTGAGCTCAGTTTAGAGCTTCACGGCAAAGCCTGTGAATACTGATGTACATGAGATTTTTTAGCTTTTCTATTTTTAATAAATTTGCAACAATTTAAAACTCTTTTTTTTACATTGTCCTTATGGGGTATTTTGTGTAGAATTAGAAATTGTTGGCGGTTCATTCCGCTGTGGTGTGACCCCTGATGAATAAAGCAACTAAGCCAAGGGAAAATGAATGAATTTATGAATGAATGAATGAATGATAATTAAAACAATGGATAAATAAAATAGATTATGATAGAACCCTGTGAATCAAAATCTCAGTAATAAAATCCCAGAAAGTCAAACTCTGCTCAGGAGTAAAGGATTCTCTAAACAATGAATTAACACATTTCCTGAAGAATGGCCACAAGATTTAACACAAAGTCTTCTTAGGCAGCTAATGGGAAGATTTAGCATGTCAAACTCATTACCCAGAGGGTCTTGCAGTGTTTAGCTTTACCCATAAGTAAGTGCACCTGATCCAGCTAATCAGGTCTGCCAGGCTTATTTGGCCCAAGCCCAAATATCACATTCATGTGTGGTTCTGCGGTTCACATGTCCGTTAAGGGATTAGTTCATTCCAGAATGAAAGTTTCCCAGTAATTTACTCACACCCTTGTGTGTTTTTCAGTCTTAACGAATAAAAAAAAACTAATATATATTTAGTGAATTACAAGTATTTTCCGTGTATTTCGAGTTGTGAATTGCATTATGGGATGTTGATTATCCATTACCCGGGATGCTGAAATATGATTGGCTAAAGTGGCAGTGGGCGGGCTTATTGCACAAAACAAAGACAGCCGTTCAGGCATGTAACGCACATGTTGAAAGCAGAATATCTGACTTCAGCATTGTTTTACAGATAAAGAATGATCACTGAGCATGGTTCTGAAATACCTGCAAACATATCATGGCATTTTCATGCTTCAGAAGAGTCAAACACTCACATACAGCACCTTAAGGACTCAGAAAAAAACTGTCTATTAACATTTTCATATCAGCAACACTATTATGTGTTCGCATGCAGTACACACTTTCCTCTGCATATAATGCTGGCTCAATCAACACACAGCGAATTAGCAAAGTATGCGCTAGCTTGGTGGCATATGCTAGCAATGCGTTTTGTTTACTCTGAAGGGAAACGAGCAGCTGCCACCCCGAGTGTCTGGAAGCCTGTTTAGTTTGGGCCTAATTATAGTCCGCCGTCCTGCAGTGCGCTGGGAAAGAGGATACTGGCATTGCATGGAGTCCCAGAAAGGGCTAAATATAGCAGCAAGGCTAATCTGCCGCTAGTTTTGCGCAGCTGTATTGTGACATGCGTTGATTAGCTGCCTGCACGACGCACGGCCATGACTTTGAGTTGTTAAAGCATTATTTACATTTTATAGGTGTGTGTGTGTGTGTGTGTGTGTGTGTGTGTGTGTGTGTGTGTGTGTGTGTGTGTGTGTGTGTGTTTTGGTCTGTTTTAGTTTGTGTATGTGTGTATGTGTGTGTGTGTCTGCTTGTATGTGTTTTAAAACATAAATAAAGAAATTCAATTCGTTAAATCAAAAAACGATTCATATATGCGGAAATCCAATTCGTAAATTCAAAACACGATTCATATATGCGGAAATCCAATTCGTAAATTCAAAACACGATTCATATATGCGGAAATCCAATTCGTAAATTCAAAACACAATTCATATATGCTGAAATCCAATTCTTAAATTCAAAACACAATTCATATATGCTGAAATCCAATTCGTAAATTCAAAACACGATTCATATATGCGGAAATCCAATTCGTAAATTCAAAACACGATTCATATATGCTGAAATCCAATTCGTAAATTCAAAACACGATTCATATATGCGGAAATCCAATTCGTAAATTCAAAACACGATTCATATATGCGGAAATCCAATTCGTAAATTCAAAACACGATTCATATATGCGGAAATTAAATTTGTAAATTCAAAACACGATTCATATATGCTGAAATCCAATTCGTAATGTCAAAACTGGATTCATAAATGCGGAAATCTTATTCATAAATTTAAAACACGATTCATATATGCGGAAATCCAATTCGTAAATTTAAAACACTATTCATATATGCGGAAATCCAATTCGTAAATTCAAAACACGATTCATATATGCGGAAATCCAATTCGTAAATTCAAAACACGATTCATATATGCGGAAATTAAATTTGTAAATTCAAAACACGATTCATATATGCGAAAATTCAATTCGGAAATTCAAAACACGATTCATATATGCGGAAATCCAATTCATAAATTCATAACGCAATTTATAAATGCGCAAATCCAATTAGTAAATACATAACAATTTATAAACGCACAAGTCCAACTCATTTAGGGAAATATTTATCATTTTTACTTGTGTGAATTTGTGTGTATGCAGTTGGAAAAACTAATATTGAGGCAAAAGCCCTTATCAGAGAGGTGAATGTCTGCAGCCACGCCTCCGTTTTCAGATGTCACCGTTTTCCCCTATGACCCCTGATGAATAAATGGACGAAGACGAAGGAAGCTAAGGAAAAGTATTATTTTTAATTTTTGAGTGAACTATCTATCCCTTTAAGTATAGTCGGAGTAGTTCAAATTAAAGAGCGCTAAAAATCAGTAAGTAGTGCTCAGTGTAGTGGAGTGACAGGAAGGCATGAACAGAAGCTGTGCTATTTTTGCTGTTCACCTGGACGCTATCAGTGGTGCAGTGGACTGGAAAACCCCTGATGAGGGAGAGCTGCTGTCCGGCTTCAGCATGCCAGCACGTTTGCGTGGGTGTTTACGTGTATTTGTGACTTATCAGGGCACAAATCTGCATAATGACACAAGTATTACAAGAAGGTGAGGTCAAGATTGCTGATGTCCTCATTTCTCCAAAACCTTATAAATCACTCAGAATGAGTTTATTCAGCAAGTAAACCTGCACACAGTCTCCTGTGAGGGCTGGTTTAGGGCTAGGGTGGGATTTAGAGCTGTAGAAAATACAGTTTGTACAGTAGGAAAACAGTCCTCACAATTCACAAATATTTGTCTGTGTGTATGCACGTTTGTGTTTGTGTGTACAGTATGTGTGTGTGTGTGTGTGTGTGTGTGTGTGTTATCCAAATTCTCATCTGAATGTAAACCCCTCTGCTTCCTCTTTCTTGCATACACATATTAATATCCTGCACCGTATACTTAGTTTCCCCTCCACATGAGTCCTGCTGTAAGTGACGTGTGTATTTAAAGTGTATTAATAGTTATGTGTCTATTAGGAAGTCAAAGCAAACACAGGATGCGCTGGTTGTTGACTAACAGTTGTATCAGCCCTTGTGGTTTTAACACCTCTGTGCTTAGCTTAAGTTTGCTTTAAAGAAGAATGAGATCAAACACCAGCCATTAATACATGCACAACACTGCCCTCAGATGGATTCAACTGCGATCAAATGCAAATATATTGGTTTGTGCGCTAAAAAAGGTCACACTTTAGTTGTACGTTTACATTATTTAATGTTAGCTAATATATTAATGAATGAACAATTCTTATATAATTTGGTAATCTACAGACCTGCTGAATGCTTGATTCTGATTGGCCGGTGAGCATTCTTAGGTATTTGGTTATTATTAGGAAGGTACAACTAAAGTAGTTCCGGCAGGTTTAGGCCAATCCATATTCTATATTTGTACCCTATCCCTTTGGCCCTTGAAACAGAGTGTGAAAGGGAAAGGCTTCAAAATTTAGCCCTAAGAAATGGGACAGAACTACATCACCTGCACACAACATCATAGGTCATCGCGATCTCTTGCTTCTAGGGATGCAACGATTATAGATTTTGATTGTGCGATTATAGTCTGAGGAATAATCACGGTTATCATGATTAGTATGCATTCATTAATTTCAAAACACTGCTAGTTTAAAAAAATCACATGAAAACTCCTTATATTTTTAAGTGTTGTTTATTGCTGCTCAGAAACCAAATAATATGACACAAAATAATAATAAAAAGCAAACAATAGTCCATTTCTCTTTGCACTTAAAAATAAGTGAAAAAAGTTTTGGCATTTAAACATAAGTAATCATTTTACACTGAAAATAAATGTCAATAAATAAAATTTAAATAAATTAATTTAAATTTCCCAGAGATGGGTTGCGGCTGGAAGGGCATCCGCTATGTAAAACTTGCTGGATAAGTTGGCGGTTCATTCCGCTGTGGTGACCCCGGATTAATAAAGGGACTAAGCCGACAAGAAAATGAATGACTGAAGTTGAGAGATGGTCACTTGTGGGCGGGGCTTTCCCCCTCTGATGACATCACACAAAGGGAGAATCTCAGTCAAAGTGTTTCTGCAGACTGTTTCTGTCAAGTTTGATAATAAACAATACTTTTAATACACTTTCACCATTGGAAGCTGCTTATATTCAAACACTCCTACCACAGAACTGTGTAAAAAACCCTATAAAAGTGAATTCTGCATAATAGCTGCCCTTTAAACCATTTATATTGAATGATAATGCAATGTTTGTGAGATTCAAATTGTCTGCTTTTCTTTCTTTCAGTGAGTGAAATCATTGTAAGAGACTTATTCGATGCTCCAGAATCAGGGAATGGCAACAGCGTGCCGTAACAGAGACTCCTGATCAGTGGAAACGGTGCATGCTGCGCAGGACTTGAAGATCCCACTGTAACTGTTTGATTTGCTCTGCATTCACTGCACATTTAGCAATACCGTGTATATAAACGCTTAACATAGGAAGATTGACAACGTTTATTTTTTAAAAACCAGCATATCAAATGTGAATGTAAAAATGACTTTGCATAGTTTTTGATTCATCATGTGCCTTAACTTGACGAGCCTTTTGTTGTAGCCTTTCTGAAAAGCTTCCAGAATTGATCGTGAATGTGAAATCTATTGGCGGAGATGATGATGATCATCATAAAAAGATCTGAATAAACTATAAAGGTAAAATATGCAGCATATGATGCAGGCCCGTAGCCAGGGGGAGGGTTCGGGTGGTTCGAAAGACCCACCCCTCAATGACAGAGGTGCAGAATTTGTCCCATACATGAGCTCATTTGTGCTATTTTGACTGCCACACCATCATCATTTGTGAAAATAACCCATTGAAAAAGGCTTTCAGACCAAGCCGAATCCTCTGTTGACCGTGACATCAATGTGACCTCAACTAATCTGTTTTGTCCAATGCAAACTATTAATTTTTAATTCAACATCCAGCTGTGCAAGAAAATATACAATCGGATGTAAGTGAAGTCATCTTCTTTCCGTCTTTCAGATGAGACTTTAAACCGAGGTCCTGACTCTCTATGGTCATTAAAAATCCCATGGCACATGGTAACCCCAGTGTCCCGGGTTAGGGTGTCTTCCCGAGCTCAGAGCCCTCTCCCACGACAGTAAGCCTAATACGCATAGTCTATTGAGTGTGAACTCGTGAAGTGTGGTTATGATGACCATCCGACAAGCCAATGCAGCTAAAAACAGTGCATTATCAAAGATAGTCACTGAAATACAGTGTTTAAATCTCGGAATTAAATATAAAATGAGGTGAATAACTGCAAAAAGGTCCACATTTTGAGAAAAAAGACCCACCCCTTTCACCAGGCTGGCTACAGGCCTGTGATGCACAGTCCCGTGTTTTAACCTGCCGAGTGTTCATTTTAAAACTGTTACCTGTTTGGCATTTCATGTATCTTTAACTGTTGCTTGATCTTCTTTGGAAATGTCTTTGTATTTATGAATTTTTACTGAACATAAAATAAGATTTTGTGACATGAGGTCTTGTGTGGAGTTTGCATGTTCTCCATGTTGGCGTGTGTTTTCTCCGGGTGCTCCGGTTTCCCCCACAGTCCAAACACATGCGCTATAGGGGAATTGATTAACAAAATTGGCCAGTGATTGCACATAATTAACTGGTTTAAATGCTTGCTTTTAAGTTTAAAATGTTTTTTTTAAATGTACAGATTTAGTAACAAAGTAAAAATATAATAATTAAGTATTATTAAGATGTTAAAACATTTCATGTATTTTATTTTAGCCTTATTAAGCATGCAAATAAGAAGCATCTAGCAAAATATTGTTGATAATTTAGGTGAGGTAAACAAACAATTGCTATTTTGGTACCACAAACCAAAACAATAATAATAAACTCACACATGTTTTACCATATACTGATGTAAATTTTCGTTTTTAAGTTTAAAAGCTTTAAAACAGCTCTACATTTTAGCTAATTATATGTTGTTCATAATTTATGTGAGGTAAATAAAGTATTAACATAAAATTAACACAGTTAAAAGACCATTGAGCTTTTTTAGTCACAATAACGTTAATTATTTATCGCGTAATGTAATTTAAATACCAGCGATTTGTTTACATGTGAAGCCCCGCCCATCGACACATAATCCCCGGAAGCCTAGAGAATGACGTCAAGCGGAGGCAGCGGAAACAGGTATGAGTGACAGTCAGAAAGTGCCAGAAACAGGCAGAGAAACAGATTTAAACATGACCTTTCGCAGAATTATTAAACACCAGCACATCTCGTAATCATCGTCTAGCATCATGGGACGCGTTTAAACTAAGTCAGACGAGTTCGTCGCGTTTGAAGCAGTCCGCGGCTCAAGCAGATTAGCATTCATGCTAACGTTTAAAATATAAGAGACCGTTTTGTTTCTTTGCAATGTACATATTTACTAACGACTCGACTTGATGGTTTGTTTATCGAAATGTCGTTTAAACGTAGTTCAAAATGACATATTGTGTTTTAAGCGTGTGTTTAAACAGTCTTCCGTGTTAATTCTAACGTTACGTGTCTTTTAAGTTGTTGACACATCACAGCAAGCCGCCGTGCAAATGTAAACAAGCCTAAATCTTGATATCTGTGTGTATTTAAGAGAAGTTTGAATTGTGAAGGACTCAGACTGTCACCATCAGTAAAAGGACATCATCAGGTTTCTCCTGGAGCAGAGTTCAGAAGACTGCTGTACGTGTGGACTGTGGATCTGAGCTGATCTGTGGTCAGAATGCCTCTGCTGTTTCTGGAGCGTTTCCCCTGGCCTAGTTTGCAGACATACACGGCCCTGTCAGCCCTCCTGCTGGCCGGGACCGTCCTGAGTGCCTATAGCACCGTCAGAGACTCAGAGTTCAGCTCTGCCCTCAGTGAAGGGCCCCAGAATGAGGAGCTGAAGCTGGAGAATCTGGGAAATGTGGCCACCGGCGTCCTGCTGCACCTCATCACTGACAGCCTGTTTGTTTGGGTGGGTGAGAAGCAGTCTTTAAAGGTGCTCAAACATGGGCCAGTGTCCTGTATATTTTAGATAATTGAGGTAAACTTGATCTTATATTCGCACATTCAAACATTCTCCCTAATGATATAATTTCAGAAAAGTATTATTTGCAAATTACAAATAGAGAAATCATATTAGCAGCCAATGGCTATCCAAGTACAACATTATTGGTCATTTAAATGATGCTAATGTTGTTTTAAAGTCATACTTGCATGTGATGTCAGGCCGAACATTCAAATTAGCGTTGTAAACAATATAGGGACTGTTGAACAAATGTGCGAAAATAAAACCAACTTTACCTCAATTTTTAGTTCCAACTTCAATTAGACACTACTGAACCAGCTATTTACACTCTTATTAAGCTTACTAGAAACTTCCAGGCTGGTGTATTGGTGGCAAGTTGGAGCTAAACTCTGCAGGACTGAGTTTGGGCAGTCCTGGTTTAGTGTAATTAGTAGCAAGTATCAAGTTAGGTCACACTTTATGTTTAATGGTCTTAACTACTATGTAGTTTCACAAAAAAAATAAATACAATGTACTTTTACTGTGTGCATAATGCATTGCAGAGCACCTCTGGTGCACTTGAGGTGGCATACGAGTCGGGTTAAGTATAATTAAAGATGCATGTAATTACATGCATGTTTTTAATCAATCAAGTATGATGTAAATAATTTTTTAAACAATAAGTATATTGTAACAAATGGTTTATTTCAGTGTAAGTACATATTAGTTAAGGCCAGTAATAAAAAAAAAGAATCCTTCATGTAATGATCAAACTAAAATAAACATTGATCATTTTTTGAGCTAATTAAAAAAAAAAAAAACATGTTAAGGTGCAAACATTTAGACTTTAATACTTCAGCAGAAATCCTGACTGTTATTGGCTGTTGTCATTTCCGTCTCTCTTGTCTCTCCGCATTTGTATTTATTTTCAGCTCAGGGTTCAGCTAGTAGCACCTACTGGAGAGGCGGAGCTGAAGATAGTAAAGGTCACTTTGGATTGGTTAAATTTGGATAAACAACCTATGCATGAGCACACAAATTCTTGGCACATCAAATGAATTTAATTGATTGCACTCTTCTGCGATATGGCATATACTATTATTTCAATGCCTAAAATTTATTTATATATCGTGCAGCCCTATCAGTGATTACTTTTCATTTTTAGGTAATTTTAATACAGTCGCTTAATGTATAAAATACAAGCTGCTACAATATTTGACTTAAACTTTCACATTTGACTTATTGGATGGTTGTATTTTAGATGGAAATACAATGGTTGTCAAGCTTTAGTTTGTTTTCTCAAATAAATATGTTTAAAATCAACATTAAATGCAATAATGTTTAATTAAAAGTAGTTACTTGCTACCTACCATCTCTTATGATGGTTAATGTGATTAATCGAGCACATCTCATGCGTTTCACTTTTAAAAACTTAACCAGGATTTGGCTACCATTTTAAAACAGGACAATAAAATGGTAGCATTCAAATGAACTGTAATTAATATGTCATAGCTGTACTTGCATTGTATTTGTAGCCCAACAATATTAAGAAATAACTTAAGAAATTTCTAAAAATAAATTTTGAAAATTTTTAATATTTTTGTGATGGTGCATTTATTGAAAAAAATATCATAAGATCGCAGATTTGTTCTTAACAACATCTTTTAATTTTTCTTTCAAATAAAATTAAAGTATAGCTACAACAAACTCAATACAGCTACATTTTAATTGAATCACTTCCTTCTCGTTTTCAAGTAAGAAAAAAATCTTACAAAGATTTGAAGAGTTAGAAAAAAAAAAGAAAATGCCAGTTAAGAAGAAATTACTTCCTAAATTTTTGTGAATCCAATCCAGCCCCAGAGCCTATGTAATGATTTTAATGATGATGATGATGGTGGTGATTTTTCTAAAAATAAACATTATTTTGTTTTGTTCTGCAGGTGATGGTGAACACCGCCTGCTGCATCCTGATGTTGATAGGAAAAGTGATTCAGTGCATTGTGTTCGGGCCGCTGAGAGTCAGTGAGAAACAGGTAGGAGAAATTTATAAGCTCACTGATGATTAATGTGCTGCTGTTTTAGGCCATTATAGCTCAGGCAGTACTTGCATATACTGTTTATTTGTTTAGACTTTATTAATCCCAAAAAGAAATTCACATATTACAGCAGCGCTCTCCATACTATATAATATATATATAAAACATAAATTACGTTTATTAAAAGGCAATAATATTAATAAAATTACATTCACACTGCACACCTTAGTTTCAAATGACGAGTAGAGACTAGTCCATATCTACAGTATTAATGCTATTACAATTCTGCATAACTCCTCTAGTATGACTTTGGGACAATCCTTAAAATTTCAGTGTATATTATATAATTTAACAATGTGTTTATATATATATATATATATATATATATATATATATATAAACACATATATGTATGTGTTTATATATATATATATATATATATATATATATATATATTGATTGATTGATTGATTGATTGATTGATTGATTATCTGAAAAAAAAAAAAAAAGATAAGTTCCCATACAAGTATTACACTGGAAAGGTTTGCAATAATAATAATAATAATAAATGTTTCCTGAACATCAGATTCGCACATTGGAGTGATTTCTGAAGGATCGTGTGACACTGAAGCCTGGAGTAATGATGCTATATACCCAGCTTTACATCACAGCTCTAAATGACATTTGACAGTATAGAAAACGTTGACATGTGTTGAGATTTCAGCTGTTTTCTTCTGCTGTTTTGTGTGTGTGAAACAGCATCTGAAGGATAAGTTCTGGAACTTCATCTTCTACAAGTTCATCTTCATCTTCGGTGTGCTGAACGTGCAGCGGGTGGAGGAGGTGGTGCTGTGGTGTCTGTGGTTCTCCATGCTCATCTTCCTTCATCTGATGGTGCAGCTCTGCAAAGACCGCTTCGAATATGTGAGCGCAGCTACTGCACCACATCACATGCTAAAGTTCTCTGTTAGACGTTATCAAACAAAGTAAAGCGACAGATCACCCACAAATATAAATGTACCCTCTATTTACTCTCCCCAGGTGGTTCTTTATTCTTATAAACACGAAAGAAAATATTTAAAAATATGCTGGATACTTGTACTATTGTAGCATGTTTACATTTAAAGATGCCAATTAAACTTTAATATTTTAAACTGGAATATTGCATAAAACATTTGCGATTTCCATCCAATGAGTTAAAGAAAGCTAAATGGTCACTTCCTGATAAACTGGCGCAAATATCAGACAGAGAAATGTATATTTGGAGATGCCACTGTGGTGTTTTATCTTCTCTAATAAATGAATTACACTTCAGAAGACAAAAGGCGGTGATTGTGGTGCCTTTTGGAGGCGTGAGACGCACTTTGTGAGTGCAGACAGATGTTCAAGTCAGTTCTGGAGGCATTTATGATGGAATAATAATAATACTAAAGCACTGTGATGACGGACTGACAGCTAAGGGCTTTTAAAAATGTGTGTATATGTGTGTGTATATATATATATATATATATATATATATATATATATATATATATATATATATATATATATATATATATATATATATATATATATATATATATATAAATAAATTGTCCACAAATTTCTGGGAATTATTGCCTCAAAATCAGTAATTTTTAGCTAAATAATGACCAAAAAAAACATGAAAAACTAGGGATTTTGATAACCCAAAATATGCATAAGATTATGTGAATGGAAACACAGCTAGTGGTTACCGGGTTTCAACATTCTTCAAAGTATCTGATTTAGTCTTTAACAGAACATAACTCAAACAAGTTTGTGTCAAGTCCTTTTGCATTAATATTTACTTCATACATTTCTTACGTTCTTCCTTATTTCATTTTGAATTATTGCTCCGTTCCTTTCGTCTTCCTTTATTTTCTTATTTCTTCCTTAATTTTTCCTTTAACAGTCAGTTTTATCCCCACCTTCCTTATTCATTTTCTTATTCTTGTTTTCTTCTTCTCTTCCAGCTCTTTTTGCACCACTATATTTAATTCTTTTTGTTTGCTTCTTTGACGTTTCCTACCTTTTCTTCCTTCTCCGGTTTCTTCTAAATGTCTTTTTGTCTCCTTACATTGTTTACTTTCTTACTGATTTCACTTCTTTGCTTTAAGCATCACTTCCTTCTCTTTTATTTCCTTACTTTCTCATTTCTTTCATGTTATTCTTGGTATTTTTATTAGCTTTTTATTTCTTGCTTCATCTTTTTTCTCCTTTTTGCTTTGCTTTTTTCATTATTTTACATAACTAATAAGAAATGCATGACTTTTAAAAAGTTTGTAGTATAAATGACACAATGTCCTTTTCTTCGTCAGCTCTCGTTTTCTCCCACGACGCCGATGAGCAGTCATGTGCGAGTCCTGGCTCTGCTGGTGTCTGTACTGTCGTGTTGTGGTGGTTTAGCCGTGCTCTGCGCTCTCGCCGGTCATATTCACGGCATGCACACTGTCGCTTTCATGGCAGCCGAGGTGAGAATGCTTCAGAATCCTTTATAATAATCATGTTTCCCTCTTTATTTGTCGTCTTGGGTTAAACCATGTCTCCTGTCTTGCAGTGTTTGCTAGTGACGGTGCGCACAGGACACGTCATCATACGGTATGTGCTCTGATGTAAACACCAACACTTTTGCTCAGTGTCTGGCATTAGATTAGGGATGAACAGTACACAGTTCAGTTCAATATTAGTACAGCTTACACACCAAAAACATTGTTTCTTAGTATATTTTTTACATTTGTGACCTTGGATAGCTTAAAATAATTGTTCAAACACTTTACAGTAAGGATGTATTAGTTAATGTTTAGTTAATCTATTTACATACATTTATTACAGTATTTATTCATCTTTGTTAAAGTTAATTTTGTTAACTCGCAGTGCATTATAATGTTAACAGCTAAACTTTGCACAGTTAAAAAGGTCCAAGGTAACATGCACTACTTTGGATGTTAATAATGCATTAATAAATGCTGAACTATGGTTAATAAGTGCTGTACAAGGATTGTTAATTTTTAAGAAATGCATTAAGTAACCATTATAAAACGTGTGCAGTATTTTGTATTAAATATCTGTTTAAATAAATGGGAAAAAATTTAACCAAACATAATAATGATTATTTTATTAATAGAAAAACTTTGTTATAGACATATATTTCAGTCATTTGAAAAAGCTAATGTTTAAACATTTAATGCAAAATTTCTGCTATGCATATCTGTCTAAATTGGTTGAAGAATATACTAGTTTTGTTCAGGTTGTCAGCAAGTAACTGTATTTAATTTAATTAACTGTATTTAAAATAGAACAAGAACATTTTTAATCAACAAGTTGCTAAAAGAAAGCATAAATAAATAAAATAAGAAATTTTATGGTATATAAAATAAAAAGCATATAAAATAAAGCATATTCTTAATATTTATGAAAATTTTTATATGCATAAATGTGCTCGCACTGAGACTGAGCATTAAAATCCAGCAGTGTCAGTTTTACATGCATGTCTGTTTGACTATGTTTTACAGTGATAATGATGGGCTGTGATGTCAAATAAGTGTAAATGAGTTTACGTGTGTGTGTAAATGTGTCTCCAGCTCTTTTCTTTGCCAAACCTAAAGTCCTGTACTAAAATCATTTGGTACTAATATGGGTACCATTATATCTAGAATTTGAATGGGTCTGATCTGTTATTTGCAGGTATTCAATTCACCTGTGGGATCTGAACCATGAGGGAACCTGGGAGAACAAGAGCTCATATATTTACTACACAGACTTCATCATGGAGTTGGCAATCCTCTCTCTGGACTTGATGCATCACATACATATGCTGGTGAGGAACGGCAGATGTAGGACCCGATACACTTTTCCTTCTTTACCTTAATGTGTTTCTAATATACAGTTGAAGTCAGAATTATTAGCCTCCTTTTGAATTGTTCTTCCTTTTTAAATATTTCCCAAATGATGTTTAACAGATTCAGGAAATTGTCACAGTATTTCTGATCATATTTTTTCTTCTGGAGAAAGTGTTATTTGTTTTGTTTTTGTTTTTCGACTAGAAAAAAAGCTACTTTTAGTTTTGTAAAACTCATTTTAAGGACAATATTATTAGCCCTTTTAGGCTATGTATATTTTTTAGATATTTAGATATTTTTTACAATAACTTGCCTAATCATCCTAACCTGCCTAGTTAACCTAATTACTCTAGTTAAGCCTTTAAATGTCACTTTAAGCTGTATAGAAGTGTCTTGAAGAATATCTAGTCTAATATGATGTCATCATGGCAAAGATAAAATAAATCAGAAATTATTAAAGATGAGTTATTAAAACTATTATGTTTAGAAATGTGTTGAAAAAAATATAAATTCTCCGTTGAACAGAAATTGGGGAAAAATATACGCAGGGGGGGCCAATAATTCTGACTTCAACTGTATATGCAGTATATAAGAGGTGCAATAAATTACATTCCATAGGGATTGAACAAGGTGGGCTTCTTATTAAAGTCCTGAGAGTGTCTAACATGATGTTCACTGACCAGCAAGAAGCTCTTAAAACTTGTGTCTTTGATTTGTCATGTGATTTTTTTTCCGGCTTGTCAGATGCCTCAAATAAACACCAGTAGCAGGCGTGACTTCTCTCTTTGTCTTTGAGTAGTTCTGATATCCTTCTGATCTTGCTGTCTGGGTTTTCTCAACGCAGCTCTTTGGAAACATCTGGTTGTCCATGGCCAGCCTGGTGATCTTCATGCAGCTGCGGCATCTCTTCCACGAGGTGCAGAGACGAATCCGCAGACATAAAAACTACCTGCGTGTCATCGACAACATGGAGTCCAGGTGAATGTTTGCTTTCAGACTAACCAATGCATGCTAACAAATAAAGTGTTTAAGTCTAAAAAACCCGGAACGTTTGTTAGCCAAAACATTACGCTATTAGCATTAGCAGCTGAAATGATCACAAAAATATCTATATATGCACAAGGGTTAATGTTAAGAAATGTTAGCCCTGTGTTAACTTCCAGACACGTGAGGTTAAAGTTAAGACGTGCGAGTATTTATGTTAGAAACATGTAAACAACCTAATACATGTTAGCAAAGTGCTAGCAATGCAAGTAGCATGTTAGAAAATTCAGTTAATATTAGCAATGTAATAACTAGTGTTACCCATATTTTAAAAGGAGGTAAAGTACTAAAACCAAGTTAATAAATGTTAGCCATGCTCAAAACATGGTAGCGAAATATAAAACATGTTTGCAACTTGTTTATTCAACATGCTAGGAACTGTAGTTAGTAACATAGTAATGCTAACAAGGTGTAAAGCATATTAGCCAAATTGTTAAATCATGTTAGCAACATGCTAGCACAAGATTAACACTTGTTAGAAGTGTTACAGATGCGAGTAATGTATTAAAATATGTTAAAAACATGGTATCGATGTTATTTCATGTAGCATCATAATAAACATGATATAAATATCCTTGTAACATGTTAGCCATTTAAAGTGTAAGAAATATGCTATCAACATTGTAAGATTTTAATTAATGTTGGAAAAGTTACATATGTTCATGTTATTTTATTTTAGCGTCATGATAAACATGCTAGAAATGCTCAACATGGTAGCAAATACGTCCAAGAGTATAAAAAAGGAAGGTATTAATAACATATTAGCCATGTAAAACATGTTAATCCTGCAAGAAACATGCTATCAATACGGTAAGATGTTAATTTATTTTAGAAAGGTTACAAATAATTAATTTTTTTATTTTAGCTTCATAAAAAACATTTTAGAAATATCCAAAATTAGCAAAGACATCAAAAATAGTAAAAAGGAAGGTGTTTAAAACATGTTAGCTGTGTAAAACATGTTTATCATATCAGAAACATGCTATCAATATGGTAAGATGTTAATTCATGTTAGAAATGTTACAAATGATTATATTTATTTCATTTTTAGCTTCATGATAAACATGCTAGAAACATTTTAGCAAAGATGTCAAAAATAGTTAAAAGGGAGGTGTTTAAAACATGTTAACTCTTTAAAACATGTTCATCATGTAAGAAACATGCTATCAATATGGTAAGATGTTAATTCATGTTAGAAAAGTTACAAATGCTCATGTTATTTCATTTTAGCATCATGACAAACATGCTAGAAATACCCAACATGTTGGCAAACATTTTTACAAAATATAAAAACATGCTAATTCATGTTAGCAACAATTTTACCATGTTGTAAACCAACAAAATGCCTATATAAACAGTATTTTATGTATGAAATGTTTGAAATACATGTTAGTAAACATTTCAGCAATATAAAAAAACATGCTACACGCTAACTCAAGTTAGCAACATTTTAATCATGTTATAAACCAGCTTTACAATCAAGGTTTAGTTTTGATTTAGTTAGCAAACATTTCAGCAAAATATAAAACAAGCTAATTCATGTTAGCAACATTTTAACCATGTTATAAACCAACAAAAGGCTTATAAAAACAGTATTTTAATGCATGCATGCATGCTAAAAATACATGTTAGCAAACAATTAACAAAATAAAAAACATGCTAATTCATGCTGATGCTTTTAATAAAGATTATCTATTTGCTGAGGATGATTTTTATTACTGTGTATTTAATAAAAAGCATAAAGAAACACTGTTTAAAAAAAATCATCCAGAAATTGCAGTGTGTGTGTGTGTGAGAATCTGTAACCTGCACAGCTCTGATGTAAAGCAGATCTGCAATGTTGACCGGAGCGTCTCTCCTTGTGTTCAGATTTGCTGTGGCGACGCCGGAGGAGCTAGCCGCTAATAACGATGACTGCGCCATCTGCTGGGACTCCATGACCACAGCACGCAAACTACCCTGCGGACACCTTTTCCACAAGTGAGCATTAGCCACACACACACACACACACTCTTGTATTTGATGTTAGTCGGTAACACTTCATAACAACTACACACTACAAATAATTTAATAAGCATTAGAAAATAGTTCATTAGTTATTTGTTAAGCATTAACTCTACATCATTAGATCTTTATAAATACAGCTACAAATGCTGGATTCTTGACTTACACTCACCGGCCACTTTATTAGGTACACCTGTTTAACTTCTCGTTAAGGTAAATTTCTAATCAGCCTATCACATGGCAGCAACTCAATGCATGTAGACATGGTCAGGACAATCTGCTGCAGTTCAAACCGAGCATCAGACTTTGAATGTGGCATGGTTGTTTGTGCCAAACGGGCTGCTCTGAGTATTTCAGAAACTGCTGATCTACTGGGATTTTCACACACAGACATCTCTAGGGTGTACAGAGAATGCTCAGACAAAGAGGAAATATCCAGTGAGAGGCAGTGCTGTGGGTGCAAATGCCTTGTTGATGCCAGAGGTCAGAGGAGAATGGCCAGACTGGTTCCAGCTGATAGAAAGGCAACAGTAACCCAGGACCTTTGAGATGTGGTGGAACAGGAGATTGGCATCATGGATGTGCAGCCGACAAATCTGCAGCAACTGTGTGATGCTATCATGTCAATATGGAGCAAAATCTCTGAGGAAAATTTCCAGTACCTTCTTGAATCTATGCCACAAAGGATTGAGGCAGTTCTGAAGGCAAAATTGGGTTCAACCCGGTACTTGTAAGGTGTACCTAATAAAGTGGCCAGTGAGTGAAAACGCACATGTATAATGATTGTACTTTGATACTTTAATGATTCATTTTTCACTACTAAATAAAGCATTGCATTATTTACAAACCAGTTATTTAAGAATAGTAAGAATGAGTAAGCAAATGATTAATAAACCATTCAAATTAACATGTATGTGTCTTATTATTATTCAGGCATATAATAATTGTTACTTCATCCAGTTTTGTGACCTCATCTAAAGTGATTTAATCTATTTATGCTTTGTAAATCCCTTATATAAATGATTCGTAATGTGTAGTTAGTTATAATAAACTGTTACCAGTTAGTCTGAGCGTCTGCTGTTGGTGTCCAGTTCCTGTCTGCGCTCATGGCTGGAGCAGGACACTTCCTGTCCCACCTGCCGAATGTCACTGAACATCCATGAAGGCAGGCGGGAGCGGGAGGAGGGTCAGAGGGAGCCGCTGGAGGACAATATGGCTGCTGCTGGAGCAGCAGATGCCCGGGCACACATCAACCAGCACAACCACTTCTTCCACTTCGATGGTGAGTCATAAATCTTATCTAATCTATGTATGGATTTTTAATTGTATATGTATTAATGAAATGTTCTTGCTATGAAAATAGCCTTTGTTACTGACATGACATTTAATAAAAAATCATCGTCATCATCATCACAGTAGGCATGGGACGATAACCATTTTCAAGGTATACCACAGTTTGGAGTAATCAAGGTTTTAAAACCACCAAAATTTTCTGCTATACCACTTCTGTGTTATATGTAAGGTTTTTAGTTTTTTAGGACAACAGTATCTCCCGCAGAAAAGATATCCGAAAATGGCATTTTAACTTGTAAAGAAATTTGTTCTTGAAACTAACGAAGACAGCAGAAGTCGACGAGTCATTTCAATTATTTAGCCTGAGGTGTTTACTGCTCCAGAATATTTTAAATGCTTCTCAAAATGAAATGTATTGTGTTGAGAGGGGGGAAAGTTTTAGTTTTTTAACCAGACATTTAGAAAGAATCACAATATAGTGAAACCGTCATATTTTTATCCAAGGTAATCATACTGTCAGAATGTTATACCAACCCATGCCTGTGTAAGGAATGGTTTTAACTGCTGTGGTTCGATTCTGCCAAATGACTCAAATGTTTTCAGTATGAGGGGGAAAAACTGTACATTTCTGCTCAAACTATTTTAAATGAAAACTGGTGAAAAGAGTTCATGAAGTGAATTTTATGGTCACTGAAATAGTTTCTAAGTTGGTTCTTAGAAACAGCAAATGTGTAAAATATGTATTTTTTTAAACGTTTTTCCTAGATCTTATATAAGGATGCTGTGTTAAAAAGGTTGACATTTCAGTAACAATTCCCGCGACCTTAATGCCATGCCGGCCATTAGTATTATTATTATCATCATCATTATTATAATTGTTATTATTATTATAATCGTTGTTGATGTTTTTATCATTATTATTATCATTGTCATCGTTGTTGTTTTTGTTATTATTATTATCATCCTTATCATCGTTATTTTTGTTGTTATTATTATTATTATTATTATCATCATCGTCGTCGTTGTTGTTATTATTATCATCATCGTTGTTGTTAATATTATTATCGTCGTCGTTGTTGTTGGTATTATTATCATCGTCGTTGTTATTATTATTATTATTATCGTTGTCGTCGTCGTTGTTGTTATTATTATCATCGTCGCCGTCTTTGTTTTTTTTATTGTCGTCATCATCATCGCCGTCGTTTTTGTTATTATTATCATTGTCGTTGTTTTTTTAATTATCATCGTCGTTGTTGTTGTTATTATTATTATCGTCGTCGTTGTTGGTATAATTATTATTATTATCATCGTCGTTGTTGTTGTTATTGTTATTATTATTATTATCATCGTCGTCGTTGTTGTTGTTATTATCATCATCGTCGTCGTTGTTGTTGTTAATATTATTATCGTCGTCGTTGTTGTTGGTATTATTATTATTATCATCGTCGTTGTTATTATTATTATTATTATCATCGTTGTCGTCGTTGTTGTTGTTATTATTATCATCGTGGTCGTCGTTGTTTTTTTTATTGTCATCATCATCGTCGTCGTTGTTGTTATTATTATCATTGTCGTTGTTTTTTTATTATCATCGTCGTTGTTGTTGTTATTATTATTATCGTCGTCGTTGTTGGTATTATTATTATTATTATCATCGTCGTTGTTGTTGTTGTTATTATTATTATTATCATCGTCGTCGTCATTGTTATTATTATTATCATCGTCGTCGATGTTGTTGTTATTATTATTATTATTATTATTATTAATAATCAGATGCACTTTCTAAAAGAGAGATCACAGTATTGCGCTGGAATTTAATTGGACCGAAAACAAAGCTTTGGGGCACTACGGTTGCATAAAATGTGACCCTGGAGCACAATCCATCATAAATGTCAATTTTTGGAAATTACGATGCATCATCTCAAAGCTGAAAAATAAATAAGCTTCACACTGATGTATGGTTTGTTATGATAGGACAATATTTGGCTGAGAAAAATCTATGACAATCTACAATCCGAGGGTCAATCTACATGCTTAGATCATTGCCCTTATACTTGTTCAAATTAAGTTCTTAGCAATGCATATCAGTTTTAATATATTCATATATTAATATATAATATATATAGTTTAAATATCTTCATGAAACATGATCTTTACTTAATATTCGAATGATTTAGTGGCCAGATTACCAGATAATTTTAACTCGTACAATGTATTTTGACTACTCCCAAAAATATGCCTGTGCAACTCAAGACGTAGAACTTTGTGGTCCAGCATCACAAATGATTAAATCCTTCCAAGTTTAGTTATTCTTAGTCAGATTTTGTGCAATATCCTACAGACTGCTTTGACAGACACACACACAGTCCTCTCTTAATGAAAGCCTGAACTGACGTCTGACTTTGTGCTCGCGCAGGTTCTCGTATCGCCAGCTGGCTGCCCAGTTTCTCAGTGGAGGTCATGCACACCACCAACATCCTGGGCATCGCTCAGGCCAACAACTCTCAGCTCAACGGCATGGTGAGTCTCTGACAGACCCGACAGCCTCCTCTGTGGTCATCAGATCATAAAGCTGAAGATGCTGCTTGTGTGTTCCAGGCCCATCAGATCCAGGAGATGTTCCCGCAGGTGCCGTATCATCTGATCCTGCAGGACCTTCAGCTCACACGCTCTGTGGAGGTCACCACCGATAACATCCTGGAGGGCCGGATTCAGGTGCCGTTCCCCACACAGGTCAGAATTAAGGCTGAAACCGTCATCCTACTCATTGTCTTGTGCTGGTTTTTGTCTGCATACCTATTTATTTAACCCTTGTGTATTGTTCAAGTTGACTAGCCTTTGGTGATGTTGAGGGCTGTTTTTGCCCCATTGACTTCCATTATAATTCCAATTTTGATTGCAAAGCCATGACGGCATATAATCATGCATTCTTAGTTGTTGGTGGTCTTTCCTGTTTGGAAGAGGTCAAATGTGTTTCTTGTTGACCTGTGTCATAATTTAAAATGTCAAAAAAAAAAAAAGAAGCATATTCTAACTAGATATTAAAGTTTGAGAACAAACTTTATGGTGGCATAAAAAGCAGAGTCTGAAAGTTTGAAGTGGTTTTAAAGTGTAAATAGCATGTTACATGTATTATTCTTGCATGAATGAGCATGTTATTAGCATGATTTTAGCATGCTTCTAGCATGTAGCATGAATTAGCATGTTATTAGCATGATTCTAGCATGAATTAACATGTTACTAGTATGAGTCTAGCATGAATTAGCATGCTTCTAGCATTAATTAGCATGTTACTAATATGATTCTAGCCTGAATTAGCATGATTCTAGCATTAATTAGCATGTTACTAATATGATTCTAGCCTGAATTAGCATGTTATTAGCATGATTCTAGCTTGAATTAGCATCTTACTAGTATGATTCTAGCTTGAATTAGCATGTTACTAGCATGATTCTAGCATGAATTACCACGATTCTAGCATGAATTAACATGTTACTGGCATGAATTAGCATGATTCTAGCATGAATTAGCATGTTGTTAGCAAGATTCTAGCATTAATTAGCATGTTACTAGCATGATTCTAGCATGAATTAGCATGATTCTAGCATTAATTAGCACGTTTCTAGCATGAATTAGCATGATTCCAGCATGAATTAGCATGTTACTAGCATGATTCTAGCATGAATTAGCATGATTCTAGCATGAATTAGCATGTTACTAGCATGATTCTAGCATGAATTCGCATGATTCTAGCATGAATTAGCATGTTACTAGCATTATTCTAGCATGAATTAGCATGATTCTAGCATTAATTAGCACGTTTCTAGCATGAATTAGCATGATTCCAGCATGAATTAGCATGTTACTAGCATGATTCTAGCATGAATTAGCATGATTCTAGCATGAATTAGCATGTTACTAGCATGATTCTAGCATGAATTCGCATGATTCTAGCATGATTCTAGCATGAATTAGCATGTTACTAGCATGATTCTAGCATAAATTAGCATGATTCTAGCATGAATTAGCATGATTCTAGCATGAATTCGCATGATTCTAGCATGATTCTAGCATGAATTAGCATGTTACTCATGTTACTCTGTTCTCATTTAAAAGTCCACAGATCGCACACCCATACAGATGAACGCGGCTTCTGAAGATGGAGCCGGAGCCAGCAGCGGTTCAGAGGTCGCGGCTCCAGAGGCTGAAGACTTTGAGGTGCGCGGGAGCCGCTTTTCCAAATCGGCAGATGAGAGACAGAGGATGCTAATGCAGAGGAAAGAGGAGCTGCTCCTAAGAGCTCGCAGGTGAGTCGACGAGATACTGATGATCAGTGTTAATTTCGTTGACGAAAAATTTTCTTCCTAATTTTCGTAACCAAACAAGTTTCTACTGACGAAAACTAAATATACATTGATTGATGATGACAACAACTATAAAAAAATATACTAACTAATACTCTGTTGACTAATCTAAATCAACCGATCTAAAGCGACATCAGGCCATGGAATCATCCTGAACTTCACAGCAAACTCGATCTTTTTTTATTAACCCGATTGTGTACTTTTGCTTAACTGAAACTGCGTAGCCTCTCGCTGACCTTTAGAGATGCCATTAGGTTGTATATTAAAATGTATTACATGGGTAACATGATCATGGCATTCATTTTCGTGAGGAGTTGTTTAATTTTAGCTGCGGCCACAGTTTAACTGGCCTGTTCTTACTCGCACACAGTTCACAGGGCAGATTCTCCAGCAGGATAGCGCTCCTTCTCATACTTCAGCCTCCACATCAAAGCTCCTAAAAGCAAAGAAGGTAAAGGTGCTTCAGGATTGGCCAGCCCAGTTACCAGATATGAACATTATTGAGCATGTCTGGTGTAATATGGAGGAGACATTAAAGATGAATCCAAAGACTCTTGATGAGCTCTGGGAGTCCTGCTGAACGCTTTCTTTGTCATTCCAGATGACTTTATTAATCAGTGATGTGAGTCATGTCAGAGATGTATGGATGCAGTCCTCTAAGCTCATGATGGAGTCAGACACAATATTCATTCTGTTTTATATTCTATACTGGACATTATTTCTGTTCAGTCACAAGACTTTTGTCTAAGCTGAGTCATGCTGCATTCACACCAGACGTGGAATGCGCGTCAAGCACGAGTGATTTACATGTTAAGTCAATGCAAACGCGCGAATAGACATCCTGCGGCGCGATACGCGCAATAGGCGCGGTGCGAATATCGTGATACGCGCAAATGGCACGGGGCGAATTGAGCGTTTTGCGCGTTTGACGCGCTTAACATGCTTTTCGCGCGAATCTCTTGAGTTCGAAAATCTGAACTTCAGCGGCTATCGCGCCACGTTAACCAATCAGGAGCTTGCTCTTGTGGGGGTGTGATTGTGACGTAGAACCTGTTGATGGTGTCCCGGGGCAATTCCTCCAGGCGACACAGACAACAAGTCATCAAACTGGGCTTGGCTCAGTCAGAAGCACCGTTGAAAGTGATCCAGGTTCAGTTTCTGGAGGAGTTGATGAGCTCACAGAGCTGGATGCACCTCTGAAAGCATGTAGTGGACTCAGACACGGTCCTAAACGTATCAACGCTGTTTTTCAGTCTTCATAAAGTACATAAACACTGTTATTTTCTTCATAAAATCCATGTTAGCCATTTAGCAATGAAGCTACAGTAACCGGGCAGACAGAAGCCCTGCCCATCACGCGTGTCTGAATCCGCGTCTGTTCTGAAGTGAATTTGACGCGCGAATGAAGCGGATTTCACGCACGAATGAAGCGGGGTTTGACGCGAATATCGCTATTTATCCGCGCGTTCCGCGTCTGGTGTGAACACAGCATCAGACCTTACAGTCCTATTGAAATCATGTAAAATCAAGGCATGATCATACTTTATTGTGCCCAAGTAAGTGTAATCTAGAGGCCTTTGCCTTTCATATAAGCCACTTCTGATACTAAAGGATCAACTAAAAGTCAAGTTTGTGTACAATAGATGGGAAGACACGGCTCAAAGTAAACTAGATTCTAACAGACTCTTGTGAATGTCTTCAAGATGACTGCTTGACTGTAGAACAACCAATCATTCTCAAAATAGAGTGCTAAAAACGAGTCTCCTGGCCTCAGTTCTGACATTTCTGACAATTGGTGCCGTGACCCGGATGGAGACTGAACTCACAAATTTCTAACACACAGAAACCCTGCGCACCAAGTCTGATGCTTATCAATCAGTCCACATTAATAGTTTTTATAGACGTGAAAATCGGAAAAAAATTATGAAGGATGAAAGTTTCGGAGGCAGCGTGTGAATAACATTGACATAACGTGAGTTGGAATTTTGTCTGACCTTACAGTCCTAATGAAATCATTCAAAATCAAGGAGTGATCATATTTTATTGTGGTCAAATAAGTGTAACCTAGAGGCCTTTGCCTTTCATATAAGCCACTTCTGATACCAAATGCTCAACTAGAAGTGCAGTTCTTATCTGTTGTTCCTAAAACTTGGATAGGCGACAAGAGATTTGTCAGGTAGTGTATTATTCTACTTATGTATTGCCATTGTATTTGTAGAGCAAGAGCGTTTATTACTCTATTCATTTCCCCAATTGGCGAATACATCGGAAGTTCTAGAACAATTACACTTCCCCATCGCAGAATATCGTCAATACAGACTTACAAAAGTAATCAACCGGAGTGCCTCAAGGCTTTGTATTGGGTCCATTTAGGTTTAACTATAACACTGTTCTCTCTTTATTAGACGTTATCTGCACAAAAAACCTGAAGATGGAGATGCATATTCTGTTCTTGGCGCTGACAATGATGACTCTGTGCCCTCCATTGAGGATGAAGACTCTGATTCAGTGACCCTGCGGCGCAGACGACTGGCAGCCGCCGCTGAGAGACGCATACTGAGGCAGGAGCCTTCCCCATTCTGAGCCCAGCGAAGACACGCATGAATCGACGGTGATGCCGAATTTTGGATTGATGCAACTATCTATGTACCCATCCAACATTACTATTACCACATGCTGTCATTGGCACACCAGTGAATTACAGTTCAATTTCAGCAAGCGTCATGCTAAACGAACAGCACTTGCATTATTGGTTCATGCATCTGCTATAAATCGTGTACGTAAATAAGAGCATGGATAGCAGCTCATACACAAAAATGGGAGGTGTTTTTATTTTGTCTATTTTTTGAATGCTGCATTTCTTAAACGTCTTTGATTGAATTTTAACAAAGTGGCGTTGCATACTAACAGTTGGACTCTGAGTCTGGAGCTTAAGCAGCAAGCAGCATGCTGGGGTTTTAATTTTACGTTTTTTCTTCAACCTTCTGTGGTTTAGCAGTGTTTGAAACAACCTCTAAGTCGATTTTCTTGGCTTGCGTTGAGTCTTATATGCTTACAACGCCCTCTTGGCACTTTAGAGCTGCAGAAGACAATGGCGTAGATTCTAGAGCAGTGTTTCTCAACCACGTTCCTGGAGGACCACCAGCACTGCATGCTTTCCGTGTCTTCTTAACCAAACACACCTCATTCAGATCATCAGCTCATTAGCAGAGCCTGAAAGAGCTGGAATAGGTGTGACAAACATAGGAGACATCCAAAACGTGCAGTGCTGGTGCTCCTCCAGGATTTTGGTCGAGAAACACTACTCTAGGGCAGTGTTTCTCAACCACGTTCCTGTGGAGCCACCAGCCTTGCACATTTTCTATGTCTCCTTAACCATACACACCTGATTCAGATCATAAGCTCATTAGTAGCTCATTAGTAAACATGCTGTTCTGGTGCTCCTCTAGAAATGTGGTTGAGAAACACTGTCCCAGGGCAGTGTTTCTCAACCATGTTCCTGGTGAACCACCAGCACTGCATGCTCTCTTCTTAACCAAACACACCTGATTCGCATCATCAGAACATTTCCAGAGACTGAAAGACGTGTGATGGTTGTGACAGACAAAGGAGACATCCAAAACATGCAGTGCTGGTTGTCCTCCAGGAAGGTGGTTGAGAAACACTGCTCTAGAGTGTGTCATCACATTTTTGTGATGACGAACGAATTCTTTCATGCATTGGTTTAGTCACATGGTCTTGTTTCTCTCGCCGTAGTGTCGTCTTTCGAAACAGACGCGCTTTATACTGAATTCATCTCGCATTCTGAGTTTGCTTTGGTGTTTATGTGTGAGAGTAATAAATGAGGGGTGCCCCAAGGCTTTGTTTTAGGTCCGGTTAGATTTTAGTATGACACTGTGATTTCCGTTTTGTGCAGTACTGGAGATTCTGAAATAAGCATGTGTACTTTAATTAGGGGAGATGCTATATTTAGCTTGTTTTCACATTAAATCTACCCTGACTAAAGTGCATTCGTTTGGGTTTCTCAAACAAGACGCAAACAATTATGGTGTATTTTGTTGATGCCGTTACATTTGAACACCTTTTTTTATGTACTAATGCCTATAAATGCTTGTGTTTTTACTGGCCGATTGGCATTGATGATGGATGTTCATGGGATCATTTGATATGGACAATTGAGAGCAAGCTTTTTGCAATGTTTGCCTTCTGTTTATTAACCGTAAACCCAAACTCTCTCCTCATTAAATTCACTATTTACTGGCCGTAAAGCCTATTCGTCAACCTCAAGAAAAGAAAAAAGTACGTCTTCAGAATCATCTCTGATGTTTTACACTGTGAATCTTCTACTCTGTCATGATTTTATTGGACTTTACTTGTCACGTGGACGTCCTTTTCTATGCATGAAGTCACTGTTTGTGTTCATGTCTGTTTATTGATCAAGTTCCCCCAAAGACTTTCCTGCTGATTTACTTTACTGAAGCTGGTGATCGTGACGCCCGCAGGTTGCTGTATGAATGTTTCGGTTGCACAGATGCACCTTTCAACAGTATTTCTTAAACTTAACGTGTTAATGATGTCCACTGGGTTGATTCAGATAATAATAATAATAATAATAATAATAAATGTTTTGGTTGCTCTTCAGGCCGTTTCGTGGAAGCCAGAAGGAATTGGATTGCTTTATGGACACACTTCATTCGTTTGTGCCTCAAATCTACAATTGATCATTAATAGTTTGATTTGTGTAAATACTTTTGTAATTAAGACTGTACAAATATGTGAAATGATCCTGTACAAAATTAAACTCACAGCTGCTTTAGGAGCTTTTACCCACATTTTTAGTGTCTCTGTTTTTGTTTAGTATGATTGAGCTGAAAAAACGACTTTAAATTCATGCATCCAAGCAAATTGTACTAACATTTAAAGGGATCGTTCACCTAAAAATGAAATTGATGTCTTTATTTATTCTCCGCTTGATCCAAACCTGTTTCGAGGCTTCCACAGTATTTTTTTATTCCTACTACGGATGTCAGTCTCATCCTTTAAACAACATCCAATAATATCTTGTGTTCAACAGAAGAAAGAAATTCATAAACGTTTAGAACCACTTGAGTGAGTAAAATAATAAGATTAATAAAATCAATAATAAATAATAAGAATAATAAATAATACATTTTTGAGAGAGCTTTGTGTTTAATAAGTGTGTATTTAAACAAACCTTGCCCTTAAATGTAAAAATATTTAATAAATGACTACTACTTTAATTTGAAAGCATTTGTAGAGTACGTAGATTGGCGCTAGAGGGCGCCACAGATCCATCAGAGATCAAAACATGACATCTAATCTGCAACAACTGCTCATTTCAGATGGACTGTAAACAACAGAATATACAGTAGATCTTAAAAGAGAGACTTGTTTAGAGTTCAGTTTGTAGTGTACAAATTAATTCCTTAATATATAATAATAATTAATATTAACGTTCATCATCTGTCATTTGATCTGGATGTAAATTTACAAACGAGCATTTTACAAATGTGTAGAGGTGAAAGCAAAAGAGCTGATCAGCTACTGTGATGAAGAGAGCTCTGTTGATGTATTGACTGACCTCAGTGTCTAATGAAGAGCTCATTGATTAACACTTTAAGCACCATCAGGGCTTAAATCTGAGCTCATCAGTTTAACCAATTCGTTTACTTCATATTTAGTTTACCAAAACTTAAATAGCCACTCCATCGCATTTAAACCTACAATATACAGGCTTACTCTGAGTTTTACCCTAATGAATACTAAATATTATGCACGGTCCCCGAAGTATTCTAGCTAGGCTAGTCAAGGACAAAAATCCATGCATTTATATAGGTTAAGTACATTTGTTCTCGTCTGCATATATTGTGTTGGTGATTAATGGGTTTGTTCATGTCCAACAACAAGATCTCAGAGGGATTTAATTGTTAGTCAATCATAAGTTAATCCATCTATGCTTTATAGTTGTGAAGGCACATATTGTGTGCTTTAAACACTGGTTATTAGCCTAAAGTGAATTGTATCTGATAATAAAATAATAATAATGAGTGATTTTCCAGATATGAAATGCTAATGCAACTGAGAAACAGCTTTGCTTGTTTATTGAGCAAAAATAAATGTTATTTACAGAAGATAACCACTAAAATACCATTAAATATACAGGGTATCAGCGGGGACGAAAAAGGTCTTAAAATATATTCAATTTCTAAAACCAAATTTTAGGCCTTAAAGTCGTAAATCCACTTAAATAGTGTGTTGTAGGTCTTAAATCATTTTTAACAGGTCTTAATTTTTCATGCAAAGCTATTCTGCCAACACCCCTCCAATCGCTAACAATATATTTCAATAAAAGTTTTAAGAAACATTTATTTATTAACTCTATTTACTTATGGTAATAACATGATTTATTGTGGTTTTATTATTTGTTTTTAATGTCGTTTTTTAAGTATTTAACTTGGCTTGGAAAAAATCTTAAACGTTTAGCCTTGGGTAAGTCTGAAATTTCATTCATTATGGTCTTAAAAAGGTCTTAAATTTGGCTTGATAAAACCTGTATATATAGTATATATAGCAGATATATAAAACAACAATATCAGGCAAATCTAGAGCAGAAATGATCTGATGACATTTTTAAAGAATTACATTTTTGATTATTACACAGGATCGCACTGAAATTTTTCAATCCTTTGAAGAATTGCTTTTGAAATTGCTTTGTAACCATTCCTTCATAAATCCCAAATATACTGGAGGGATTTCTTTTTGTGAATACTCAATGAAGGGTGACATCTTGCTTCACTCTTCAAACATAAAAATAAAAGTAAAAAAGGCGTTTTAGTTTATTTGGAATGGTTCTTAAACCGCACTGTAAGCCCAAAATGAGAGAAAGATGTGTTAATTTGTTGTATTTAACTCTACATTTATTGTGGTTTTAAGATATCAGACGGCGACCGTTGAAAAATTCATGTTTGCGTGACGTCAGACGGATCTGTCATAACGCTTAGAGGTGTTTGAGCTGGATGGCGGCGGGAAATGTTTCCCCTGAGTGCTTTTACACCGGCAGAAATCAATAGCGGCTCTGCTGTCACCCTCTCCGCTCCACGGCTGCTCTTCAAGCCGGTTTGATCTGTCTCTCCGCCGCTTCTCACGGGGACTAGCGAGAGCCGTCACTAAATCATGTCAGCTTCTTCCCTCTGATTTTCGCGGCTTTTCTGTCGCTTTTCCCGCGCAGCGCGGATGGGACGCGAATCAATAGCAACTTTGATTTCGCGCCATCTGAAACACCAGCCCGCAACTTTGAATGCTTCCATTACCTCAGTTTAACCTTTTTTGAGCTAAAAGAATAACTTTGAGACGCTCCCCGTCTCTCTCTGGTAGGTTTTTTTCAAGTTTTAACAAGTCAGTTAACATCATTTTGTAGAGCGAGCGGAGCATGAAAGTTCACAGATGATTGACGCTATAAGGAGATGTATTGTCAAACGAAAAATAACTAGCTTGTTCATCCAAAAATTGAAATGTCATCATGTATTCATGTTGTTCCAAACAGTTTTATTTTCTTTCTAATGTGAAACATGATGTAGGCTAAATAAATTTTTCCTGGACAGGTGGCTCGTTCATTCATTTTCCTTTGGCTTAGTCCCTTATTTACTATTGGGGTCACCACAGCGGAATGAACCGGCAACTTATCCAGTATATGTTTTACACAGCGGATGTCTTTACAGCCGCAATTTAGTACTGGGAAACACTCATACACACTCGTTCACGCACACTACGACTAATTTACTTTAGAAACACCAAAGAAACACCAATTGGCCCAGCTGGGACTCAAACCAGTGACTTTCTGGCTGTGAGGCGACAGTGCTAACCACTGAGCCACTATGGTAAAAGGCCTACTCATTCTCTCTGAACTGAAATGTAGCTGCGTTCGTTATTTTTGCAGAACGTTTTATCAATACAGGCTGATTGTGATGGCGTCAAATCTGCACTTGTTTGCTTTTCCTTTTTCTCTCTCTCTCTCTCTCTTGTACAGCATTTGACCCACTTTAAATCAGACAGAAGATCATTGATTTTGAAGAAGCCAGATCGTGAACACAGAATGACAGCTCAGTTCAGCGGAAATGTCCAAGCTGGCTAATCGAAATCCCCAGTAGCCATACAAAGAGGTTGTTGCTCGATCAGATAGGGTTGCGACCAGAAAGTAAACGAGAATTTTTTATACAATTTATTAAATTACCCAATAAAGTGTGTTTTATTATGTCTACCCACACCCCAGCCCTAAACCGAACCATCACAGGGATGTAAAAACAGTAATTATACTGAGTATAATTCATGTTATTTATTAAATTAACCAGTAAATTGTATTTTATCAATGTCTACCCCCACCCCAACCATCACAGTACTGTAAAAATATGGATTATTGTGATACAGTGTTACAAAAATTAAAATATTGATGTGTGTATCCACAGCTGTATCCAATCTAGACGTTATCAAAGGCATAGATATTTACGTTAGATGTCGCCTACTGTGTTGTTGGTCATTGGAAGGAATATGTTAATTGAGCCGCCATTTTGGTACAGGCCAGCGTTCCTTTAAAATGAATGTGGGACCAAGATTGAGTGGAACACTGGCCATCCAGAGCCCAAGATATATACATATCTATGATTGGGGGTTTTTCCCGGCTGTCAGTATGCAAATTGTTTTTTAATTTTGAAAATTATAATGACGACACCGATATTACATGATTGGCCGAGTTCACTGCATGACAACAAACACGTGTGTTTCTGGTTTTTTTATTGGACTTCCAATTCAAAAGTTTCAAAAAAACAATTCACTTTTTATCGCATCTTGTACATCATGTTTATTAGAAGCCTACAAATATTTTACTGCTGTAATCAGTTTTTGTTAAATAATTTGGTTATAATGGCTAGATTGTTTGCACAGGTTTGTTTTCAACCTTTTTTTATACATACTATTTACTGTATTCAGCTCCATGAACGATATAAATTATATATTCAAGTGAAAAACCTAAATAATAACTCCAATAAGTCTTACAGACTTGAAATAAAATAATTATCATCATTAATCCTGAGGTTTCTTAACAAATTAAATTAAAAAAACATTTCATTAAATAATTATACAGTGATTTATTTGATTATAAAACATATTTATCCCGTCTAGCCATTCATGCACAACTTTTAAAAGTGATATAGATGTACCTGCTTTTTCTGGGAAACTTCTACTAAAACTGTAGCTCACGTATTTTAGGAATGCCCTTTTGTTCAATCTTTTTGGATTAAAGTGCTTTTTTGAAAATGCTTCATTATCCAAAATAATTTTAATCATTGTTTAAGACTTAATCAAAACACATTGTTTTAGTTTGTACTCTAAATTTGAAAGTTTTATATCTATAAATGTAAATAAATGTAAAGCCCTTTTAGCATATTCAAATAAGAAGTTTTAGCCTTTAGAGGGATGTTCAAACACCTGTTGATTTACCCTCTCGTTCCCCCTTCATGATTATTCATAATTCCCTTCTTGTTTAAAAATGCACTATAGTTTGTAGAGACTGTATTCTGTTTTATTTGTACTGTAAATCTTTTGTTGTTATAAATAAATGATGATGATGCCATGTGATCGGTCATTATGACTGCCGCAACTTTGAGCTCCGAAGTGTCCTGTTGTCCAGCTTGACTCCGCCCCCGCCTGCGCTCGTCTAATCATTGGTCTAATCTCGTTGATCACCGGCCGTGCTTCATGTCGAACGCACCTGTTTGCATAATTTCCAACAAACCACCACCTGATCTTGTTATGTGAC